TTAACTAAACAAAACAAATACATGTATGCAATATTTAGAAATTCACAAAACTATTCATGATTGACAAGCTTAAATAATAGTCAGCTGTCTTTATTTACTAACAAAGTTGTTCTATTCATAGCAACAAACATCGAAGCTTACATGACACTTATGAAAGGACAGCTTTGTGTATCTGACAAAATTGTCAAGATAGTACAATAGTTTGTAATTTACAGGACTGTTCTCTATATAATTAACAAATTGTCTATTCTTAGCAATCCAAAACTTTTCTAAATATACATAACAAAAGTCTTCTTTATTTTTAAAATTTACAAGTTTTCTCTATATAATTAACAAAGTTTCTGTTTTTAGCAATCTAAAAAAAGTTATATGTATAGATAACAAAAGACTTCTATATCTAGTAATTTACAAGAATGTTCTATATATAGTTAACAAAAGTCCTCTATAGTTAGTAATTTACAAGACTGTTCTATAGATAGATAACAAAAGTCTTCTATATTTAGTAATTTACAAGAATGTTCTATATATAGATAACAAAAGTCTTCTATAGTTAGTAATTTACAAGAATGTTCTATATATAGTTAACAAAAGTCCTCTATATTTAGTAATTTACAAGACTGTTCTATAGATAGATAACAAAAGTCTTCTATATTTAGTAATTTACAAGAATGTTCTATATATAGATAACAAAAGTCTTCTATAGTTAGTAATTTACAAGAATGTTCTATATATAGATAACAAAAGTCTTCTATAGTTAGTAATTTACAAGAATGTTCTAAATATAGACAACAAGACTAGTATACTATAGATATCAAATACCTGATACTGATATGTTCTTTTTATGACAAGAAAAGTAAGTAAAATATAACATAGAAAATCCTCCTGTGGAATTTGATGATTTTGTCGACTATAAAGAAAGATAAGAATGTAAATTGAAAGACCATTGTGTCAATAAATTTCTCATTTACCAAGGGTCTCGCTTTACACATATATATTATTTATAAGTCCATCATCAGAAACAAGAAAGATATCTCAATTTATCAGCAAAAACATTTCTTTCTTGCTGAAATATTCATAAGCAAAATACAATCTAATATCCTGTCATTTTTTCCTCAATGCCAGAAATTTTTAGAAATTTCTTCTATTCTTATAAAACATTCAGAAAAAAATACATCTCACGAGATACAGTCAAGAAAAAAAAATCACACCTGTCTCATACTCCAGATATATGTTTCTTTAGTCAAAAAAGTTTTACAAAAGAAGGAGTTTATAATACTATATCAATTTTTATCAAAAATCAATATTTATTTTGTATGTTAACTGGGTAAGAGGCCCTCCATGTTGTTCTAGTTGGAATGTATCATCTATCTATCATCCTTTGCTGTCTGGTTTAATGTCCATAACTTTACAAACCCAATTGCCTATGTCAATATCCTCTGCTTCAGCTTTCTTCACAAATGGATGTGTCTAAAATATGAATAAAAGTTAATATATGTAGACTATGACAAGAAAATGTAAAAGTTTAAAAATATTTAAGACTGTTTGTTATATTGGTAGTTTTATATGGATAAAAAGAGCGTTGATGAGAGACTGAAAATCCTGATTCAGAAACAATCCTGAACATTTTAACCTATGTAGAAAACATTTTGGCATATAAAAGCTCCTTCCAATTTCTTAGCACTCATAGACATACAATTCTGATATCAAAAGCATCATGTATAACTATGGTAACAATATGAAGAGAACACAGCTGAACAAGATTTCACAACTTTTCTGGCATGTTTGGTTAGACATTTGCATTTTTACCTGTCATCAAAGATGGTAGTGAATGAGACTGAACGACAATTAAGCTATATCAACTAGCCTTTCAGACTACAGATTTAGATGGTTTCACTAAAATATTGGCCCTCTGCTAGTCTCATAAGACATCTAGCGATCTACATCTGTAATAACAGTCAATTACTACTGAATACAGCTCTACAATCATTTTAACAATAAAAGTTACTGTCAACAAAACATAAAAGTCTACAAACAATACATAGATGAAGTCTTACTCTAATATTAGCATTGCAATTACAGTGATAACATCTTTAATTAGGACAGTCACAAGCACTGATTTTTCATTCAAAAGATTAGCATTCAATGTTCTTTTCTTCTAAATGTTTGGACATAACTAGTAGCTATTTTCTTTTGTGTCAAAACACAATACAGTCTAACTTGCCCATGCGACCACGTGTATTAAGCGACTTTTGTCTTAAACAACCACTTTAAATTCCCCCCGGTCATTTTCTCTCTATATCTTTAATGTATTAAGTGACTTTTGCTCAACGCGACCAACGCCCGCTAATAAGTCAGCTAATTGAGATAAATCTTTTCATTAAACGACCACTTTTCCCTGTCAAGTAATTGTGTTTTTAGAGAACACCACCTCGTAATGTCACAAGTGTCAACAATCAAAACACAACAAATAAATGTGTGAAAAACTCTATTTCCCAAACCGTTTTAGTGTATGCAAGTGAAGTTAAGTATACGCGTGACGTGTATTATCCAATAATCTCGAATAAACAATGCAACGCTCCGCCCCTATTGAGATGGTGTATACACTTCGCTTGTTGACATTTAGACTGCATTGAATTGACCTTGATCAGCAATTAAATGAATGGTTACAATTAGATGTAGTTTGTTCATTTCAAATGAGAAAATGCACAACAGAAAACATCTTCACTAATAGGTGTTTCGTGTTGGAGACAAGGAAAAACAACGAAAAATTAAAAAATTCTGGAAAAATGTCAAACATGTACGTAATGGATCAAAACTGTTTTGTCAATAAATATCAGAAAGTTATATTTTACATTAGCATCCATTTAGATTATCGGAGCGTACTAATTATTCAACATTTATATAAATGAAGTTGAAAAACATTCCCACCGCAAAAGAAAGATGTCATTTATAAATTTTGACTTTTATATCATGCTTTGTCTTAAGAGACCGTTTCTTTAAGCGACCGTTTTGGGTGTTTCCCTTGCGCGGTCGCTTAATACACGTTTGACTGTATTACAATATCCTGACAATATATAATAAAATTTGATTGTCACAAATTTCCTTCTGGATCCTCAGGCCTATTTTGAAAATTCTATCATTTAATTTTTTATACATATTTCTTTTAAAACAACTAAGGTCATATAGTGACCTACAGCTTTACTGGTGCAGATAAACCTCTGCTCTTACCCTTTGTTCATTATTTCAGGCATGAGTGATTTGAAAGTTAATATTAATTCTTGGAAGGGAAAGACCTGAGATGACCTTCCGTGCATTATTTCAGGCACAAATGGGCACCCGAGTAGACCCTCCACCCTCCCCCCACATTCAGTGAGCTAGCTAGATAGCTTTCTCACAAGAAAGAATACAAAGTCCCTGTTGGGATTCCAACCCTCAGCAAAAAGGGAGGTGAAAAGTGGTTTGAAGTAACCAATCTCAACCTCTCGGTCACAAACACCCCTATTATCCTAATTCAAAAGCGTGATATATTTGATAATAAACAACTGTTATGTGATGTGAAAATGTCCCACAATAAATACTCACAGCAAGAGAATGCAGATCAGCTCTTTCTGATGGGTTCTTTTTCAAACTGAAAAAAGAAGGAAATACAAGTTAGTCTCTCAAGTGAATCAAGAGATAAACCAAACAAATAGTTGTTGCAGTTCTCAAACATAACATGCCTGTTCTTTCCTTGGATAATAATAACTGTTTTAATCATGTAAACAAACAAGAGGGCCATGATGGCCCTGAGGTCGCTCACCTGTATATAGGCCCACCCAACCCCCACCCCCCAACGTTGCAGGGCCAATTTAACCCAAGGGCTTTTATTTGCACAAACTTGGTAGACACCCATAAGAAGATGTTTCATGCTAAACATCTAAGCTCTAGCTCATTGGGCTTTTTAAAAGAAGATTTTTTTAAAGTTTTTACTATGCACATATAGTTAAAAACAATGACACCCCTGGGGCCGGGCCAGTTTTGACCCCAGGGCTTTTATTTGAACAAACTTTGTAGACACTTACTAGAAGATGTTTCATGCTTAATATCTAAACTCTAGCTATTTGGGTTTTTTCAAAGAAGATTTTAAGTTTTTGCTATACACATATAAAGAAAATCAATGACCCCCGGGGCGGGCCAATTTTGACCCCAGGTCTTTTATTTGAACAAACTTTGTAGACACTCACTAAAAGATGTTTCATGCTTAATATTTTAACTCTAGCTATTTGGGTTTTTTCAAAGAAGATTTTTTAAGTTTTTGCTATACACATAAAAGGAAAATCAATGACCCCCGGGGCGGTGCCAATTTTGACCCCAGGGCTTTTATTTGAACAAATTTGGTAGACACCTATTAGAACATGTTTGATGCTAAATATCTTAGCCATAGCTCTTTGAGTTCTTTAAAAGAAGATTTTATATGCATAAAGGGAAAATCAATGACCCCCCGGGGCGGGGCCAATTTTGACCCCAGGGCTTTTATTTGAACAAACTTGGTAGACACTTACTAGAACATGTTTCATGCTAAATATCTTAGCTCTAACTCTTTTGGTTCTTTAAAAGAAGATTTTTTAAGTTTTTACTATATGCATATAGGGAAAATCAATGACCCCCCGGGGCAGGGTCAATTTTGACCCCAGGCTTTTTTTTTTAACAAACTTGGTAGACACCCATTAGAACATGTTTCATGCTAAATATCTTAGCTCTAGCTCTTTGGGTTCTTTAAAAGAAGATTTTTTAAGTTTTTACTATATGCATATAGGGAAAATCAATGACCCCCCAGGGCGGGGCCAATTTTGACCCCAGGGCTTTTATTTGAACAAACTTGGTAGACACTCACTAGAAGATGTTTCATGCCAAATATCTAAGCTCTAGCTCTTATGGTTTTTTAAAAGAAGATATTTAAAGTTTTTTCTTTCGGTTGCCATGGCAACCAGAATTCTGCATGGAATTAAATTCTTTGAACAATTTTTAAAGGTGACCACCAAAGGAACATTCCTGTGAAGTTTGGATGAAATTGGCTTAGTGGTTTATGAGGAGATGTCATTTAAAGTAAAAGTTTACGGACGGACGATGGACGGACGGACGCCGGACGCCGGACGGACGCCGGACGAAAAGCGATCACAAAAGCTCACCCTGTCACTTTGTGACAGGTGAGCTAATAAAAAAGTCAAGATTGCATTTGTGAAAAAATGCTATGCTACAACATTATACAACACTAAAAGGTCGGAAAAAAGTACATGTACGAGGGGTTTAATCCAAAAATTCGTGGACTTTCTTTGTTGCGTAAAATATATTTGAGATATTGATTTGAAATTCTTACACTGCTTAGAAGAATAAATAACAAATAAACACAGAAAAATTCATGTTAGTAGCTTCTTATATTACAACAATATTTAATTTTACATAAACACATGTCAGCGACAGCGGCGCACTCCAAAAAGTTATTGACGTCAACGTCATAATATTTAACGTACAACTTATGCTTCAACGTTACGCAGTCAATAACCATTACTGCTTCACAAAGTAATGTCCATCACTAAATTTTTATGCCACTTAAACACTAATGATAGTGAAATTTTATTTTCTCTGTTCGCCTGCTGTTTTTTTTCAAATGTTTTTGTTAGTGTCATTCCCAAATTACAACAAAATTTTATGATCACGCTATTTTCTAATTTCTGCGTGTCCGTCATTTTCCCGTTGTAAACAATATCGTCGTCTGGCGTTTCTGGCGATTTCAACAAAAATTAACGGAAATGACGTCCATAATTTTAAAGAATTACTTAAATGACATCATAGAAGAAATATGCGATGTTTAGCGGGTTTTCTACGTTAATTAGTAGTTTTTTTAGCAAAAAATATACGATGACTAACTGCGCTTTTCTACCGTGCGCCGGGTGCCGTGTATGTGCTTATTTAAAAGCAATATAAAATCATTATTTATTGACGCAGTTAAATGTTCCTTTCAAAACGTGTTGATAATATTCTACAATGTATGCTGATAAAATTTCATTACAATACACTTAGACATCAAAAGATATTTAAAAAATCCACAAATTTTTGGATAACCCCTCGTAGTTCATTTTTTGTTCCTATACAAATGAACTTTGTGATAATGGAGTAGTGTCTATTACATTTTGTGGTCAATGTTATATTTCAGCATGTCAAATTCAATTAAAAGACAATGTGCAGATGTATTTATCTAATGATTCAAAGATTTTTAAAGTTTTTGCTTTACAAATAAAAGAAACACAATGACACCCAACCCATCCCGCTCAGCAAGACCAAGTTTGACCCCAAAGCTATATTTTGAACACTCTTGGTAAAGGTTTGCTACATATTGTTCAAAACAAGTATCTTAGCTCTAGTCCACATAGACCCATGGACCAATTGTGAACCCAGGGTTATAATTTGAACAATCTTCATAAAGATTCACTAGAAAATGTTTCATGCCATAAAAATTATGAAGTCATTAGGTCAATGCAATTTCATTTTAATGGCCAGTTTTATGTTTTGTAATTACAGGTGTAGACAAATAAATCTCACACCCCAAATTGACAAATCACAGATTTTTGTCTGAAGAGAAGCCTCCATTCATTGAGCAATAATTTCTTTCAAAAAGGTAAAAGAAAAGAAGCTTTTAATAAACAAGCACAAACATACCATCTATTTACGAAGTCTATAAATTCCTCAGAAAACTTTCCTTCTGGTAGAGTAGGTGGTGGCTATAAACAAAACAATGTAAATGCAGTCATTTCATGTAAATGTAAATGCAGTCATTTCATGTAAATGTAAAGGCAATCATGTAAATGCAGTCATTTCATGTAAATGTAAAGGCAATCATGTAAATAGCTAGTAAAATACAGTATTTCCATGTACACACAGCCTTTTCATGTAAAAATAGCAATTTAATGCCAATGCAGTGTATTTAATTTAACAATCATTACATTTAGCAAACTAAATGCTTAACATTCTTGTATGTACTATACATATTTCATTTACAGGCAGTTCAGTACTTTAGTAATAAAACGACTGTGGAAAAAAATAATTCAATAATAATTCTTTGCAACATAGTATGTGCTTTAGTGCATATACTTTAAAATTTACAATATGGTATTTTAATTTGTAAAAAGTTCAAATTCAATACTCTAAAAGGTTAGGCCATTAAAAACAATTTAGAATAAGCAAAAAAGCATAAAGTACAGATATTTTAGCCAACATTAAAGAAATCTCTTCCCAAAATAAGCAAGTCTGAAATTTTTGTTCAAAAGAACAAGTAACAAGTTGCCCCGACATATTCTCCAGCTAACTGGCTAACATGCACATTTCCTTCCTATTTATACATTTCCTACATACCATAAACAATATAAGCATATCATTTACTATAAACTTAAGCTTGCATTGCTCAAATTTCAAATTATATTTACCAATCTTTAATGAATAACATAAACAAACAGCATGAAATTTCAACAAGTTGAATTGGTTAATAAGACCATAAAAATAAGACCAAAAATCTAAGACCAAAAAAGTAAGCAGCACATCAGCATGCATGAACAAAAGCCTCTTGTCTTACGAATCTGATTTAAAAACCTTTAGTTCATTCCTAAATTACAGTTCAACCCCTGCAGAGCAGTCCCTTTATAAAGCAATAACCTCTAACAGATAGAATCTTCCTGAACTAAGATGTCAGATTTCATTTACCCTCTCCTAGAGCAACACCTCAAACCACCAACCAAAATCTGTGTGTCTCTAAGGGTGTTGCTCTGAAGAAGTTGTACTGTATTACCAAAGAGAGTTCAGTTGTCATAAAATTGCTAAAAATACAATTCTAGCTACTCCTTTTTTAAATTTTTGAAAAAAATTTGGTGTAAAAATGTTTTGCAAAATAAAAACTCTTGTAAAAGCCTGGATTGACAACACTTAAAGCACAACACTGAGAATTTGGTAATAAGAGAAAAACGAAGCAACAACATTAAGTTTCGCTTGAGGTATGTTAAGGAGACAACATTCTTTTTCTTTTTTTTTTGTCCGTATTATTTTCCAATTATTTTTTTTTTTGCTTTGTTTAATTGAAACATTCTTGGTTAAAAATATTTAGGACCAATTATTCTATTTACACATTAAGCAGAACTCAGTAACTAACACTTTCCCTTTTCAATGAGTTACATCACTTGACACTTACATCTTTTGTTTATACAATTTGAACCCAAGTTTTCCAAAAACAAACAACAACAAATGGTTAAATCAAATTAACTGAAATGCTTTAAGCATTGCTAAAAGCTTGACAATTTGAGCCAGATTCTATATAAGTTATCTCCTATGGTTTTCAGTGTTTTGGTACCTGCAAGTTTATACCAGAGTATGGCTTCATTTCTCAAATCATTTATACACAATTGTAATACAATAATATGTTTAAAAATCCGGTGTATTGGTCCTAGAAAAATAATCTTAAAATATCAAATTTCAAGCCCACCAATATAAGAAAATTTATAAACAGTACAATGTCATTTTATTTGTAAAATTTCTTTAACTTGAGATAAACTATCCTTACAACTTTTAAATCATCTAGAATTCAATTTCAACTTAAGTAAACTAATAAGGTATCGGCTATCAGAGGAGAATAATCTGCTATGTTTTTTGGTTGTTTTTTTTCAAACTAAAAGCAAGTTTTTACAATTCATAGCTCTGCTTCATTGTTAGCATTAATAATAAATGCTTAACTGATATTTTTATGCTTTGCTCTTACATAGAACACAATGTTACCATGGTGAAGCTAACATTAACATGTCAGGAGGTTGTTTAAATTTGAAAGCATTTACTGCTGGGAAAATTTCACTTCAAACGGTAAATTTGCTCAAAAGGAAATGGAGGAAAAGAGTGAACAATTTTTCACCTATTCAAAAAGGCAAACTTAGAGTAAAACAAGAGGGCCATGATGGCCCTGAGGTCGCTCACCTGTATATAGGCCCCTGGAGCAGGGCCAGTTTAAACCCCGGGGCTTTTATTTGAACAAACTTGGAAGACTCCCATTAGAAGATGTTTCTTGATGTTAAGTTTTTACTACACACATATAATGACAATGACCTCTGCCCTCTCCCACCCCTAACACCACCCCCCCCCCCCCCCGGCATGGCCAATTTTTACCCAAGGGCTTTTATTTGAACAAACTTGGTAGACACCCATAAGAAGATGTTTCATGCAAAACATTTAAGCTCTAGCTCATTGGGTTTTTTAAAAGAAAATTTTTTAAGTTTTTACTATACACATATAGTTAAAAACAATGACACCCCTGGGGCATGGCCAAATTTGATCCCAGGGAATTTATTTGAACAAACTTTGTAGACACTTACCAGAAGATGTTTCATGCTTAATATCTAAACTCTAGCTATTTGGGTTTTTTCAAAGAAGATTTTTAAGTTTTTGCTATACACATATAAGGAAAATCAATGACCCCCTGGGGCGGGCCCAATTTTGACCACAGGGCTTTTATTTGAACAAACTTGGTAGACATCCATTAGAACATGTTTCATGCTAAATATCTTAGCTCTAGCTCTTTGGGTTCTTTAAAAGAAGATATTTTAAGTTTTTACTATATGCATATAGGGAAAATCAATGACCGCCTTGGGCCGGGCCAATTTTGACCCCAGGGCTTTTATTTGAACAAACTTGGTAGACACTCACTAGAAGATGTTTCATGTCAAATATCTAAGCTCTAGCTCTTTCGGTTTTTTAAAAGAAGATATTTAAAGTTTTTTCTTTCGGTTGCCATGGCAACCAGAGTTCTGCATGGAATTAAATTCTTTGAACAATTTTTAAACGTGACCACCAAAGGAACATTCCTGTGAAGTTTGGATGAAATTGGCTTAGTGGTTTATTAGGAGTTGTCATTTAAAGTAAAAGTTTACGGACGACGGACGACGGATGGACGACGGACGAAAAGCGATCACAAAAGCTCACCCTGTCACTTTGTAACAGGTGAGCTAAAAATGAGAAAATATATTCTAAGTTCTTCACAAAATCTAAATTTCTCCAATAAAATTATGGGAAATAAATATATACCAACTGAAAATATTGAGAGAAAAAATCAATTTCTAATTGCAAATAAATACAAAACCTTTTTCCGTAAAACAGTTAAAATTTAAACAAGAGGGCCATGATGGCCCTGAGGTCGCTCACCTGTATATAGGCCGCCCCAACCCCCAGGGCTTTTATTTGCACAAACTTGGTAGACACCCATAAGAAAATGTTTCATGCTAAACATCTAAGCTCTAGCTCATTGGGCTATTTAAGAGAAGATTTTTTTAAAGTTTTTACTATACACATATAGTTAAAAACAATGACACGCCTGGGGCAGGGCCAGTTATGACCCCAGGGTTTTTATTTGAACAAACTTTGTAGACACTTACTAGAATATGTTTCATGCTTAATATCTAAACTCTAGCTATTTGGGTTTTTTCAAAGAAGATTTTAAGTTTTTGCTATACACATATAAGGAAAATCAATGACCCCGGGGCAGGGCCAATTTTGACCCCAGGTCTTTTATTTGAACAAACTTTGTAGACACTCACTAAAAGATGTTTCATGCTTAATATCTTAACTCTAGCTATTTGGGTTTTTTCAAAAAAGATTTTTTAAGTTTTTGCTATACACATATAAGGAAAATCAATGACCCCCGGGGCGGGGCAATTTTGACCCCAGGGCTTTTATTTGAACAAACTTGGTAGACACCTATTAGAACATGTTTGATGCTAAATATCTTAACCATAGCTCTTTGAGTTCTTTAAAAGAAGATTTTTAAGTTTTTACTATATGCATATATAGGGAAAAATCAATGACCCCCTCGGGCGGGGTCAATTTTGACCCCAGGGCTTTTATTTGAACAAACTTGGTAGACACTTATTAGAACATGTTTCATGCTAAATATCTTAGCGCTAACTCTTTTGGTTCTTTAAAAGAAGATTTTTTAAGTTTTTACTATATGCATATAAGGAAAATCAATGACCCCCTGGGGCGGGGCCAATTTTGACCCCAGGGCTTTTCTTTGAACAAACTTGATAGACACCTATTAGAACATGTTTGATGCTCAATATCTTAGCCATAGCTCTTTGAGTTCTTTAAAAGAAGATTTTTTAAGTTTTCACTATATGCATATAGGGAAAATCAATGACCCCCTGGGGCGGGGCCAATTTTGACCCCAGGGCTTTTATTTGAACAAACTTGGTAGACACTCACTAGAAGATGTTTCATGCCAAATATCTAAGCTCTAGCTCTTATGGTTTTTTAAAAGAAGATATTTAAAGTTTTTTCTTTCGGTTGCCATGGCAACCAGAGTTCTGCATGGAATTAAATTCTTTGAACAATTTTTAAAGGTGACCACCAAAGGAACATTCCTGTGAAGTTTGGATGAAATTGGCCTTGTGGTTTATGAGGAGATGTCATTTAAAGTAAAAGTTTACGGACGACGGACGACGGACGGACGACGGACGCCGGACGAAAAGCGATCACAAAAGCTCACCCTGTCACTTTGTGACAGGTGAGCTAAAAATTGGACAGGCCATTCCAGATAAATTGTGGAATATTTGTGTACCTGACTTGGAAAAAAGGTGTGGGATTTTGTCAACATACCAGCACAATAGCACAAAATTTTATGTCACTTTCTCATAATTTTTTACAAGTTTTATTTTTTTTCCACCTACAAAATGTATACAAAAACTAGACTATGCATTGCAAAACTATTGTAAAAAAACATGAATAGCTGATGCAAAATCAAGATACCAAAAAATAATGCAACTTATTGAAAATTGAGAATTCCAAAGTAATGTACTGCAAATTTACAAATATTACAGTGTATGACAACTTATTGCACAGTGTGAGGACAGCATAGCAGCATCTAGCAAATTGTCGGTCCAGATTTCAGGCATGTTGGTCTAGATTTAAGTCAACGCGGAGGAAATTCAAGACAAGTAATATACAGCTTAAATAAAAGCATGGCTGCATAATGCAAAACTTGGGAATATTACAGCAACCTTGCGATAAACTCAGGAAAAATTAAAGGAAGGTTTTGCAAAATCATTACAAACATATTGCAAAATGCAGAACTATTACAAAAACTTATTGTCAAAATAAAAATGCAGGACTATTACAGAAACTTATTGTCAAAACAATGCTATTGATACCAAACTGTGGGAAAATCATGGCAGGCATTTTATTTAAAACTGAGGTAAAAATAAAAGCAACATACATTAAAATCAGGAAATTTCAAGGCAACTTATCGCAAAATTGTGGGAAAAAACAAGGCTTCTTACACCAAACTATGGGGAAAGTCAAGGCAACTCATTGCATTGCAAATATGGAGACTTCAAGGCAATTATTGATATACTGGGAAACAAGAAAACTTAAAGCTTAGGTCTTCACTAATATTTGATTTGCAAGTCAATCCAAATCAAGGTTTTCAAGATGATACTTTATACGATAAAGAGGCTATATAATATGCATTATGCTTCAAACTCTAAACATAAAAGCAATGCATTCCAAAAATGCTGCTAACTGGAATAATAGTTATATCATAGATGAATACTGAATGTACCTTAACCTTCTAATTCATCCTTTTTTCATATTTTTCAATCATATTTTTTTTCTTTTTCAGACTTGCTTATTTTTATATGAACAAGGATTGTTTATCTTTATTTCAAATTGTTTTTAAATATTAAAACCACAAACCCATGCAAAATGTTATGTTTTATATGAGATAAGTATAACTGTTAGTGTGTAAAAACTTGATGATGATCATGAAAATGACTGTTATGATGACGATAAAGCCTAGCAGGTTTCAGGGGTACGAGACTGAAATAACACACCAATCACTTCAAATATACAGCTTATGCAACAAGCAAAAAACTCTACAGCCTTCTAATTTTTATCAAGATTTCAAAACTTTTTCGCCAAAATGTAATGTTTTTGGTCTGTTTTTGAATTATTTGTTTTAGTAATGTAAGCAATACGTCATTAATAAGGTAATAAAAACCAACAGTTTTACTTTTTTAGTTTTTTTTTTCTCTCACGTAACATACCTCGTTTACAATGAAATCTAAAAGCTCAAAAATTGCCATTGGGCGTGGCCCGTCTGAGCCAGGGCCCGGTGCACATGGAGTTGGAAAGTTATAACTATGCCTTTTGGTTCCTAAAATAAAAGCAAAAAAAACAAATTTGCAACAAAACCAATTATTTCATGACAATACAGCATCTCATACCAGAGCAAGAAAGGTTTGGAAAAAAAGTTTATATGGGGCACCTCCCTTTATAAAGCCATGTAATGCAGGCAACTCAAGCATCTGCTCACACTGATCTGGGATGGCAAGTCAAGTCTCTGAATGACACTGATGTAATTTTAGGTATGGATAGCATAATACACATTTTGTCATTTCGCATTATTTTAATGAATAAAAAGCCATTCTCTTATATGTATACAGTTCATGCTGCAAATATACTTCTGTATAAGAAATCTGTATTACCTCCCTTTAATTAAGAAAAAATAAACATAAAGAAATACAAAAAATAGATATTTTAACCATGCAAATAAAACATAAATAAAATGTTAAACAAAAGTGATTCTTCCAATGTTTCAAAACATGACCATGCAAGTTTTTTAACATCCATAAATTTCCTTTAAACACTCATTCATTTATCATGATCAACCCTTACATTTTATGCATTGGACTTTCCCTATTTTGCACTCTGAACAGTTCATGTCACAAAATTACCATTTAACAAACTATTGTATACAGTCTGATTAGACAGCACATTATGTACAGGCAGAAAATCCCCTATACTTTAGGCATAGGTCAATTATTATTTCTGCTGGCATAAGTCAATTATCATTTCCACTAGCATGGGTCTTTTATTATCGTCTCCAGCATAGGTTTGTTATTGTTGTATCTAGCCAGGGTCTGTTATTGTCGCCTTTAGCAAAGGTCAATTCTTATTGTGACTAGTCTAGGTCTGTTATTATCGCCTTTAGCAAAGGTCAATTCTTATTGTGACTAGTCTAAGTCTGTTATTATCGCCTTTAGCAAAGGTCAATTCTTATTGTGACTAGTCTAGGTCTGTTATTATTGCCTTAAGCAAAGGTCAATTCTTATTGTGACTAGTCTAAGTCTGTTATTATTGCCTTTAGCAAAGGTCAATTCTTATTGTGACTAGTCTAGGTCTGTTATTATTGCCTTTAGCAAAGGTCAATTCTTATTGTGACTAGTCTAAGTCTGTTATTATTGCAGCTAGAAAGGTCAATTCTTATTGTGACTAGTCTAAGTCTGTTATTATTGCCTTTAGCAAAGGTCAATTCTTATTGTGACTAGTCTAGGTCTGTTATTATCGCCTTTAGCAAAGGTCAATTCTTATTGTGACTAGTCTAGGTCTGTTATTATTGCCTTTAGCAAAGGTCAATTCTTATTGTGACTAGTCTAAGTCTGTTATTATTGCCTTTAGCAAAGGTCAATTCTTATTGTGACTAGTCTAGGTCTGTTATTATTGCAGCTAGCAAAGGTCTGTATTTAGTATAGCTGCTAGCATGTCTCTTATTATAACCAATAGCACACTTGTACCCAGAGGTCTGTTATTATCTAGCATAAATCAATTATCATTTCCTCTATTACAGGTCTGTTATTATTGCAGCTTGCATAAGTCTGTTATAACCTACAATAGCATAGGTCTTATATAATGACTGTTAGCAAAGGTCTGTTATTATGATCGCTTGCATAGTTGTTTCTAGCATAGATCTGTCATTATCACTGCAAGCTTAGTCTGTTCTTTATACAGATACTATAGGTCTGTTGTCAATGCTGCTAGCATGGGTCAATTATTATTGCCATCAGCATAGGTCTATTATCATGACTGACAGCATGCTAGCACAAGTCTGTCCTTCTTGCACCTAGCAAAGGTCTGCTATAATGGCCACTTACATAGGTCAAATATTATGACAATTAGCATATGTTTGTTATTATCACTGCTAGCAGTAGTGTGTCATTATCCGCACTAGCGAAGGTCAGACAATATCACTGCTAGCATAGGTCTATTACTGTTGCATGTAGCATAAGTTTGTCATTATCACCCCAAGTTAAGTTTTTATTATCACAGCTAGCATAGATAAATTATTATGACTGCCAGCAAAGTCTGTCCTTATAAATGCTAGCATAGGTATATTTACTATCACAGCTAAAATAGGTCTGTCATTATTGATGCTAGCATTTAAAATGTTAAAACCTAAAAAAAAATTTTTACTTTTATTCAATTAGATCTTCATTAAATCCTGCATTAGGTTAATTAGGTTAAGGGTTTACTTGAATAAGATCTTATTATGCTGTATAATTATACATGTGTACCAGTTTCTCTTCACTCAATGCATCTTTATGATTATATCAAATCACTGCTTAAACTTTTCTTACACCTGAAAAGGATTTCTTGTGATAAAGTAAAATATATGCTTGCTTAAAAAAGAACTCATCACTTTTTCACATGGTGATTTTTTCAAGTTTTCAGCATGAGAATGTAATTTGAACAAACATTTTACATCTTAAAATTCATTTTTGTATCAATGAAAATTAATGAACATTTTTGTTTCTATTAAATTTTGTTCTTTTTCTTATAGAGTTTTATTAGAGATGACAGCAAGCAAATGTTGATGGTATATACTAAGACTTGCCCTGGAGGAGCTAAATTTTACAATATAAATCTTAATAAATTAGAACAAATCTATTACACACAATTATCTGTGAAGAACCGTAAGATTATCCATTTAATATTTTAGCTCTGTCACATATTTGTTAAACACTGGTGAAATTACTCAACATCCATTTCTGTGAAGCTGTAAAGCATAAAGTACCATCTTTCTGTAATGCATTGGTAGATAGCATGTACAAAGACAGATTAAGTTAGATACAAGGCTTCCTTTTTCTGTTACCATGACAACAATCTTTATAAAACATAAAATATATAAACAATAGAAAAAGTTACCCTCCTAACATAAATATCACCTTCGCTAGAGAAATCATTTTGCTTTAATGTTCTATTCATTCAATTAAAAACAATATCATCCAAGTCTTTCTTCTTCTTTTATTTCAGAAGAAAAATTTCAAAAATTTTGGCAGTATTACTTGTATTTGTAAACAAGAAAAAGAACTGTACACTAAACTTGTACAAAAAAATGACAAACTATACCCTGATGTAGACTGTAGAATATTTGAAATATGAGATATTTGTAAAAGTTTTAGGAACGTGAAATTTTACATTTAAGTTACATGAAATTTAACATTTAAATAAAAATGAAATTATAAAAGTAAACCTTCATACAACTGACATCAACTATATCATAACAAAACTGTTTGAAGAAACTTCTTTATCAAATGAATTTCTTACTGTGTTTTCTAATTAATATAATGCTTGCTGATGTAAGATAAAAATAATAATTATCATTTTTTAATTAAGCTTTGTAAAACTATAATGTAATGATGATCAATTCATGCTTAATGACAATACAGTCTAACTTGCCCATGCGACCACGTGTATTAAGCGACTTTTGTCTTAAACGACCACTTTAAATTCCCCCCGATCATTTTCTCTCTATATGTTTAATGTATTAAGCGACTTTTGCTCAACGCGACCATTGACCGCTAATTAGTCACCTAATTGACATCAATCTTTTCATTAAACGACCACTTTTACCTGTCAAGTAATTGTGTTTTTAGAGAATGCCACCTCGTTATGTCACAAGTGTCAGCAATCAAAACACAACAATAAACGTGTGAAAAACTCTATTTCCCATACCGTTTTAGCTTATGCAAATGAAGTTAAGTATACGCGTGACGTGTATTATCCAATAATATCGGATAAACAATGCAACGCTCCGCCCATACTGAGATGGTGTATACGCTTCGCTTGTTGACATTTAGACTGCATTGAATTGACCTTGATCAGCCATTAAATTAATCGTAACAAATAGATGTGATTTGTTTATTTCAAATGAAAAAATGCACAACAGAGAACATCTTCACTAATAGGGTTTTCGTGTTGGAGACAAGGAAAAACAACGGAGAAGTTAAAAAATTCTGGAAAAAATGTCAAACATGTACGTAATGGATCAAAACTGTTTTGTCAATAAATATCGGAACGTTATTTTTACATTTGCATCCGTTTAGATTATCGGACCGTACTTATTATTCAACATTTATATAAAAATGAAGTTGAAAAACAATCCCATCGAATATCATGCTGACTGTCTTAAGAGACCGTTTCATTAAGCGACCATTTTTGGTGTTTCCCTTGCCTGGTCGCTTAATACACGTTTGACTGTATTATCATTATATTAAATTATTTTTTTTAATTAATTATATTAAAATGATTTCTCCAGCAATTCACCTTGAAAAAAAAAAGAACTGAAGGGAGGTAATACAATGAAAAAAGTTTAGGTTGTGTTGAAAGAGTTACACAACCTGTCCATGATGACTTTACCTCATTAACTATATATTCTAAGAGTTCAAATATGGCCATTGGTAGTGGGCCATCTCCAAATATCACCTGGTAGTCACCCAAACAACCTGAAATCAACTCTTAACTAGTTAGTCAATTTGTTAATAAATTCAAGAATAATATGTGTTTCACTCCTCTTCAAAGATCGCAGTGTCCAACAAGCAGGTCACTTTCCTGTAAATGGCTGGGAAATTGTACATGAATTTTTACAATAATCATCGCATTTTTAGATATTTAATAAGAATGCAACATCTTAACGATAAAATAAAATTTGTCAAAGTTTTATGGAACATCAAGAACCATAACTCAAATAATCTTTGCAATGAAAAATATTGGAACTTTAAGAGCAATATAAACTCTCAATCTTATTCATTCTTTGGCTTCTTTTTCTCCTATTAATTGAGTCGGGGAAAGTTGTTGCCAGTGGCACATAACTGTTATGATAGCCGGCTATGTTCAGGAGAAAAACCAGGTGACCCCTAGAAGTCAAATGATATATCAATAATACACAAGCCTGGTCATTATAGTCCATTTACTAATCATACTGAAAGAAATAGTCTAACAGGTATTTCTAACACTTTAGACTTGAAAGAAATACCTTCAAACATTTTGTTTTTTAATAACTTCAAACTGCTACACAAACTGGTTACCATGAATATTGTGAATGCCTCATAAACTGACAAAATGTGAATCTTTTATTATATCAGTAAATCTGGCAGAAAGAGTGTATACTGTACTAAAAACTGTACTCTGTACTTAAGAGAAAAAAAGACAATTTTTTTTAGAAATATCAGAGACATGAGTGGATTCTCTTCCAGCTCCTGTGGCTGCTTTGTCACAGCTTACAAACATAGCCATACAACCAGGTAAAATTTTCTTGACCTCACTAACTTCTAATCCTACCTTAAAACTAAAGATCCATGCCAAGGGCCTATAATTATACTTATGATCTAAGATATTGTAAAGGCATGAAGAACTTACTATAAACAGCAAGTGTGATTATTGGAAGATGTACTTGCAACTTTGTTCCCCAGAATTTTTGTCCTTTGGGAAACAAAACTTTGTCTTCTTCTCTTTTAAGTCATAGACTGCTTTTTATGTGAACATTCCTAGCTTTACAGAAAGACTTGCTACCATAGTTCATTATATATGCACAGATAGTGCAAACAGTTAGTTTTTTATAGAATTACTAATCAAAAAGAAATTAATCCAAAACATTATCAATAATTGATATGTAAGTGCCCAAACAATTATTCAAACTTCTTGTGTAAAAATAGAACCACAACATTCAAATGACAGGTCATTTTAATATAAATCTAATATCAGTATGATACAAGCTATGTTGTGGTTGTTAACATTGTTATTTATAAAACCAAAAAAAAAATCAATGAATCAGTCCAGTTTAGTTTAGCATTTATTTTAATTTTATTGCGTAGGAAACTATAAGCTACTGCTTATAGAAACACTTTTGAACCCTTCCTAGAACTAACCAGTACTAAGCAATAAGTGTATAATTTCTTGCTTAAGGGAACAACGACTTGCCTGTAAGTGGTTCAAATATAAGCAATCGGAAATTCTTAGATTCATAGTCCAACAAGTTCACCGCTTGCCTAAGTCGCCACTATCATTAATGTCAATATGCAAGTATTACCTTTTAATGTTTTTCCTGTACGTGCTGCCTCTAGGTGTTCTTCCATCACATTCTCACCAAACAAACCATCCATATCTTTAGGATCAGGTGGGGGTATAGGGTAACGCCCTATTGCCATTTCTACAAGAGAAAGCCCTACACTCCAGATATCAGACTGAACTGTGTAATGGGTACCCTGTAATCTCTCAGGCTGAAAACAATAGGATAAAAGTTTATAAAAAAACTGCTTAATCCTTCCACCAATAGTTGTCAATAAGAGGCGGGCGTAGACCAGAATGCCTGTCTCAAATGCACACTGGACCACCTTAAAGCTAAGAAAACAGTCTTTGCTGAATGTGATAAAACTAAAAATGACTGCCCAAATTTAATATGCAGAAAGTCTCAGAAAACTTTTAATGACAACCCTGTTAACCTTTACTTTTACAAGACAGAAAATTGTCTGTAATAATTTAAAAGTAAAAAGCTAAACATGACTTAAAAACAGAAAGAACTTCTTTTTTTAAAAATATATTCACCCAATTCCAAGTATAAATTAAGATTTCTGACATAAGGCAAATTTAGCCCCATCATAACCCTTTTTTCTCTTCAAAAATCTTACACTAATCAGAAATGTGTGAAAAAAAGTCCAGATATCCAAACAAACTTCATAGCTTGAATTTGAACATAAAAACATCCTAATATGATATAATTGTAATAAAAACTCTATGAAGTAACAAGCTCATGCCCCTTTATTTTAAAGTGATGGACAGACAAATATACTGGTAAAATACTGATACTATTTAGTACAATATATGGTGACTTGCAGATTTCACTGGTGAATGGAGACCCATGTACACATTTTTACACGTAACAGGTATCAGCATATAGCAACTGCAATTTTCTTACATTAACTTCAGAATTTAAAATACTTACAGGTTATTTAAGTTGATCCCATTGTAATGAAGGTTACTGTATTGATTGACAACATATTCAGCTATGGTAAGTCCATCTTTGACTTTGTACAATGAGTGTACAATGAGTGTACAATGAGTGTACACTGAGTGGAAATAACTTTCTAAATCATTTGTAGTACAAAATGTGCCATATTATTATACTTACCGACATATAAGATCTTGTTCCAACAAATGAATTTGCCATTGAATCAATTAACTGTCCACTCACACCAAAGTCACAGATCTTTATTTCACCCCGTGAATTCACTAGGATATTTGATGGTTTTACATCTAGTAAAAAATAAAACAAACATAATACTCTTGCATTATTAAATTGAAAATGTACAAAGACAGCTTATTGGATATACATTATTGCCATGTGATATCAAAATATTGTGACCATTATTATGGCACTTTTTAAACTATTTTGATGGAAAAACACCAATCTTACAAAATTTAGACATAACAATGGACCTTTCAGAATCACCACTTTGAAGGGGGAGAATATGTAATTGGTGAATGAAATGATGAATATAATTTCAAAGAAGTGAAGGACATATTGCCATCTAAATGCAGTAATAGGTTAACTCCTATTAAATAATATAAGTTGTTATGCCATTACTGCACTATTGTGACAAAATGAAGATATAAATAAATGAACCACAAAACAATTTCTATCTTGTTTCAAGCAATTTTATTTGAATTAATGTTTCAATAGTTTATTAGTAAAACAGAGTACACATAAATTTATCTGTAGATGTTTGGACTACATGCATACCCTGTAGACTGAAATTCACTTGCTACTTATCTGTTGAGCAATGTTTTTAGTCAAGTTACAAATTCTATTTTCAAGCTTTCAACTTTTCTCTATTATTTTTCAGATCTTTGCCTAAATATTCCCAAATGTGGTTCGGTAAATATTACTAGTACAAGAACAAACATATTTCTTACCTCTATGCATAATTGAATGTTTTTCTCTAAGGTATATCAATCCTTTAAGAACCTGGAAAAAAATCAACAAATATACCAGTTAACAACAGCCAATGTACAGGTGTGACCGCCCTTCACTATTTCTTATTTCCATTTAGGCAAACATATCACTGAAAATCATTTTAGGGGTTCGAAAGGAAACATTTTTTTAAATGACTTTTTTATGAATAAATTTTCATCAAGTATAAATCAAATTTGTCAAAATTCAACAGCCTTAACAGTAAGTCATTTTATGGTAAAAATCAAACTTGAATAATTCAGTTGGTGTCACAGAGGTATATTTTTACACTTGTACATATAAGATTCAAGAATTTAGTGTTATATCAATATTAAAGTAACATAAAGTAATAGTATCATTATAACTAGTAAGTATAAAAAAAATCTTAAAGGGAAAAACAAGGTTAGAATAAAAACTTGATTTCAGAAAACGAATACTATAAATAATAAATCTGCAAATTTTCTGCCGCCAAATAATAATATTAAACGAATGATAACGAAATTTAAATCGCTAAATCGCCGATTTCTACAAATCAGTAGGCGCGGCCATGTTTGTGTATTGGCCGTATAAAAACAGGTGCGCGTGATGTCATTTCCCCACATCTTTAGATTTATGATAAATCGTAGCGAAACATTTACATATTAATAAAGTATTGACCAGACAATTTAATTTTCACAGGAGGTGTAGAGGCGATTTTTTTATTGTTCAAAATACGTAACAATATAAAAAAAAAAAATAATAAAAAAATAAAGAAACAAATAAAAAATCAACGTCTACCGGTCGCACCACTTCAGGCCAGTGATGCCCGTTACTCCAAACAATGCTATGTTCATTAAAGTCTCATCTTAATGTAATTAATAAATACACATGTTATTATTTAACAAAGTTTCACAATCAAATAATGCAATTAAATAAACAAACGCACCAACGAATAATTGGCTGTTAATTATTGAACGGCGATAATTATCATTATTATTAAAATCCTACTAAAACGTGTTCTAAATAGTACATGTAATTAAATGTTTGCAGTTTGATTCTGACTTTCAAATGAAAAGGTGTGAACATATGTTAGTAGTGATGTACACATTTCAAAAATATAAGCAACTCTTTCGAAAAGTAAATTGTTTACATGTCTGTCAACGTATGATGCTTAGTGGTATTTATTTACATCGTAATCGTAGCCTAATATTAACTGCATGCAAAACATTTTTATTGGCTGCTCAAAAATCTCATTTGCATAATATATTCACACAATTGCTGGTTCTTACAACTTATGACTAATACTGTGTATTATCCATTTTTATTGTTCCTAATTTGCACTAAATGTTCCTGTCACACTGTGTACTAACGGTTTTTATTGCTCCTTGTATGCCTCTGTGCCGACAGAACTTTTGATCATGCACAATGTTGCCCTGATTGGTTAATCACCCTTCAGTTGTCAAATATTCTAATGACGAAATAGACATATTTTTTTACGCTTCATCAGTGAACTGAATGACCTTAGGGTAGTCAAGTTATACTGTAAATTACAGCATTTCATACAATAGCAACACATTTTTCAGTTACCAATAATCATTTTGAATATTAAGTAGATTTATGTTTTTTGTTTTATTGGATTAAATTTACGGTAGTAGAAATGCGTATCTGTGTGGTAAGTAGATAACGTGGAAAAAAGCTATAGGGAACTGGATAAACCCGAGAATATGCGTAATAATAGGGGAATTATGCCCAATGGGCAACCTGTTGCTGTTGGTACCAGTTTTGACTGGGTGCCTAATTAACCGAACGGACAGTTTTGTTTTCATACGATATTAGTCTAGCTGCCGATTTTCCTGCGTCATTTTATTTTTAACGTCAATGTCGGAAAATCGCGTCCTCAGGAAATATCTGCATATTGGATTTAGTTGATATTTACCGCTGAGAAAAAGATACATGACCGGCGATGTACCCTATTCAGACAGCTTGTCTAGCGAAAATTAAGTACCAAATAAAAGGATATATCGTCAATTTGAAGAAAGTTCTCAAAGTACCCAAATTAAATTGATGGTTTATCTTTGAAAACTAAGCAGTCATTGCTTAAATCATGTGGTGGGATCATCAGCAAGCTTGAAAAATCGGACAAAATTAATGATAATTGTATCATAGTTTGGAGACCTTTCTGTTGAAAATGTGTCAGGGTTAAATCGTATACATATACATGCACAGTGCGTTAACTGGAGTGCGGGTATTAGTTACCCGCACTCCAGAGCATGCCCATTGATTGGCTCATTTTTGCTGGGGTTTACATATTGTACAGCAGAGAAAGGGAAAGCGACAGAAATGTCATATTCAGATGTTCGTTCATTGGTTCATTTTTGCCGGGGTTTCATATTGTGACAACAGGGAACGTGCTTTTATGTTTGACTATGATACAAAAGAGAAAGAACACCAAAACACTCGGCAATCTGATTAATACTCGGGGGCTACGCCCCCTCGTACAAATCAGATAGCCTCGTGTTTCGGTGCTCTTTCTATTACTTAATGCCGCGGCGTCTTCAATTAATTAATTAAAGCAATTCAGTTCCATATGATGTTTTCATAAATAATAAATAATGTACGCAATAAGATTAATTAAGTTCTTCGTCAAGATATATTTCAGTTGTACCAGCGTGTACACCTTTACCGGAAGTGGGTATAACACGTCACAATCTCGGTCTCGTCTGTCTCGCGAGAATGACAGAACGCCAAAATGGCGGCGCCCATGAACTTATTTCTCAAGTAAAAAATAGTGTCTTAAAATGCGAATTTCTCACTTAAAGGGTTGATGTCAACAAAAAAACTGTCATGGTACCTCTTTTTTAATGATGAATATTTATATTAGACAGACATCAACCCATCCATTCCTATTCCTTTAAATTCTGACTGAGGAAATACTTCTTCCTGATAAGCCAAGTATTTTATGTGCCACTGTAACCTTCATCTAATTGCTTCAAAATCGATAGAAGGTAAGCTTCTAGTCAAGACCAACCTTCACACCAAATCCTAGGACTGCAGGCCAAGCATGCTCTAGTTATTGGTCAGACAAGCTTTCATTGGCCGAAACAACATTGATTTTAACATACTGACATAAAATACTTTATAAATATTTTTTATATTAATTTTATAACAAATCACCGCCTAATACATCATTCTTCTGGCAGTAAGCCAACTAGTAACTATTTTCAGATATGATTTGAACATTTTTTATTCTACTTTTCGAAAAATCATGTGACTTACATAGTTTTTATTGTTTATAAAGATTTTTGACAGGTTAATGGCCTTGTATTAACGGTTGTTTGGAAATATAACCCAAGTCGTTTATATACAGTCATATAACCTGTCAGAAATATTTGCAACAAATTTATGACACAGCAAGCATCTTCTTTTAGAGAAAAAAGTGAGATTTCTTGATAAATTCACAACTGCTGTGTGTATAAAACTATATAAACATCATGATTATGCAATGAAAAGGGGCGTTACAAACATGCAGTATTAATGGATACTTGATACATGAAATTTTGTTTTAAGTTAATCCTGATAAAGAGTCTATAGATCCGAAACCAGTATAATGGTATATCTTTATTACAGTTATGCCCATTCTCTGTATTGGTGTGTAGTGCCTTTTTTTCTATTCTTTTATACTTACAGAAGATGTTAATTTTCCTAGAATTGGTTCTGGTATTCTGCCTGCCTTTTTTAATATCAAATCTAATGACCCTCCATCCTGTAACAAAACACAATTATACAATACCTATTTATAGTGAAGTTTCTTAAATCAAACAGGATTCATTTTTAAAACTACCAATAACATAAAATGTTCTTAGTTTTATTTGCTTGATATTATAATAAGTCATAGCCAGCATTTATTTTTTTTATGAAATTAAAGGTACATGATTGTACATACTAGCTCAAAATCCACATCATGGATATGAATGTACAAATGCAAAGGCATACACAAAAGATATTCCAACAGGGCCGACAAATCTGATTTATATTTGTCTGTTTTAATCTAAAGCATTTCTTAACTTGTCTGTATGATATATAGTAAATTCTGTAAAATTTCCACTTGTCCGTACAGGCTGTGGGAAATAAAGGGCAATGGGGACAATTGGCTTTGCCACCCCTGCCAAAAATATATCAAATTGACCAGCTAATAAAGATGATTATTTCATACAAAACAAGCAAATTCGTTGAATTTATATCCCCTGCCGAGTACTGGTTATTACTAACACAACAACTGAAGACATAAGGCTTTATTTATATATTTATCATGGCATAAACAGTAATATTCTTTGACATAAACAGAGCCATAACTCTGTGTTAAATAGTAATATCTGGAAATACCAATGAGATGTATGCATACTGCATAACTAATCAAGGGCCATAAATCTGAGTTATAACTGTCTGACTGGAACAAGGCGACTATATGCACATCTCCTCTTCGTATCCTGAATTCCAGCCAGTAGTTACAGAGAAGTAGCACGGAAACGATTATTGCTCTGGTTGTATACTGCATAAGATATCAAGGGCCATGACTCTAAGTTAAAATGTCTGACCCGAACAAGGCGACTATGCCCATCTCCTCTTGGTATTGAAGGTTCCAATAAAGTTTCATTGAATTCCAGCCAGTAGTTGCAGAGAAGTACCGCAGAAACGAATATTTTTCTATATGCATACTGCATAACTAATCAAGGGCCATAACTCTGAGTTAAAATGTCTGACCCCAACAAGGCAATGATATGCGCATCTTCTCTTGGTATTGAAGGTTCCCATAAAGTTTTGTTGAATTCCAGCCAGTAGTTGCAGAGAAGTAGCGCGGAAACGATTTTTGCTCTATATGCATACTGCATAACTAATCAAGAGCCATAACTCTGAGTTAAAGTGTCTGACCCGAACAAGGTGACGATATGCGCATCTCCTCTTGGTATTGAAGGTTCCCATAAAGTTTTGTTGAATTCCAGCCAGTAGTTGCAGAGAAGTAGCGCGGAAACGATTTTTACTCTATATGCATACTGCATAACTAATCAAGGGCCATAACTCTGAGTTAAAGTGTCGGACCGGAACAAGCTGACGATATGCGCATCTCCTCTTGATATTGATGATTCCCATAAAGTTTCGTTGAATTCCAGCCAGTAGTTGCAGAGAACTAGTCTTGAAACGAAATTCGGACGGACGGACAACGCCAAAACTATATCCCCCTCCCGATTCCATCGGCGGGGGATAATTAATTACCTACTACCTAATTTAATATACATACCATATATTCCATACAGATGCTAATTTCACCATCACTATAGAAAGCCCCATAGAAACCAACAATATATGGAGAGTTACATTCATGTAGTACTTTTAATTCTCGTATAATCTGGTTACGAATAGCTGGTTTTATTTCTAAATGTATCAACTGAAATACAATACAAAAAATAATTATTAGTCTTAATATATAGCATTAAGGCTAATTAAAACATATATGCATACACAACTAGAATACTTAACATGCTGAGTAACCTTTGCCACCAGTATAGAGCAAGGTCAGTTTGCATATCTATGCAGTAGGCCATCTTACTTCAAACATTCATCTTGATGCCCCCCCTCCACCCCAAACCCCAAAAAAAGAGAAAAGATATGGGAAGTTAGCCAGGATGTTCACTAGCCATGTAATCCTGAGGGTCATTTTGACCAGATACAAAGCAAATCCCCATGATTTTAACAAAAATTGACCCTCCAGTTAAAATCCTGTGGGTCAAATCAGGTCTTTTTGAAATTTGAAGGGTCAAAGTGTCATTTCAAGGGTCAAACGGACACCCTGTTAGCATTTCCATTTAAGAAAATCAGCAGGTTACGGATTCTAAATTTACAATATAGATTTAAAATTTTGCCAACAAATTACCTTTCTTGCCATAATAAGGCCTGTTGGAAGGTGACGAACCTTCATTACAACACCACCATTTCCTGCTCCAAGTTCTCCTATCTTATCAAAGACATCTACTGTAAGTTCACCAACTTTCTGTTTCTGTGTTAAGAAAGCTTCCAATCTCTGTCGCTGTTGATCGTCTATATCTAGTTCTTTTAACTTTTGTGTCAGGGATTCTATATTTGGATTTGGTTTACTGAAACAGATACAAATTACAATGTACTTATAGTAAACATGTACATTAAAATAAAACTGAAAATTAATCTTAATTGTGCTTGTATTTTACAGGCAGTATATCAAGAGTTATTCTGTCATGCCTAGATAGATCATATTTATTTGGTTATTAGTTGACAGCCATGAAAGTAACTGAAGTATGTTGGGGGAGATCGGTCATGGAGGAAACATTATGCGAGAAACTTTTATGGGGGAGCATAGTCTGACTACCATGTACTTTTATGTTTTATTGGTATGATCATAAAGTTTGGGCGGGTTGGACTCTTCCTATGAAATCTGATTGAGACACTTTTTACCCCCTCCCCCCCCCCATATTTTGGTTTTATATTTTAGGTGAAAATATGTAGACTAGTGAATGGTGAATAAAACTGTTTTGACATATTTTTTTTTATGTTTGTAATGAAGACCTTATAACATAGATATATTGTCATTTTCCCAAAAAAGGCTCTGACACAAAAATTCTATTTGGTGTTGAAATATTTACTCAAAAATTATAAGTGGTGTGCCGTTAATTGTCTTTCTGATGTTAGGGAGTAAAGTGCCTGGGAGTTGAAGCATCTTGTTCCCATTGCATGTATCATATATAAATATATATCTGTGGATAAAGAGTCAACTCGGCTCTATACCAACTCAGCCCACTTGTAAAAACAAGAGGGCCATGATGGCCCTGAGGTCGCTCACCTGTATATAGCCCCCCCCCCCCGGGCCAATTTTTACCCAAGGGCTTTTATTTGTTTATTTGAACAGACTTGGTAAACACCCATAAGAAGATGTTTCATGCTAAACATCTAAGTTCTAGCTCATTGGGTTTTTTAAAAGAAGATTTTTTAAGTTTTTACTATACACATATTGTTAAAAACAATGACACCCCTGGGGCAGGGCCAGTTTTGACCCCCCGGCTTTTATTTGAACAAACTTTGTAGAAATTTACTAAAAGATGTTTCATGCTTAATATCTAAACTCTAGCTATATGGGTTTTTTCAAAGAAGATTTTTAAGTTTTTGCTTTACACAAAAAAGGAAAATCAATGACCCCCGGGGCAGGGCCAATTTTGACCCCCGGGCTTTTATTTGAACAAACTTTGTAGACACTGATTAGAAGATGTTTCATGCTTAATATCTAAACTCTAGCTATATGGGTTTCTTCAAAAAAGATTTTTAAGTTTTTGCCATACACATATAATGAATCAATGACCCCCGGGGCGGGGCCAATTTTGACCCCAGGGCTTTTATTTGAACAAATTTGGTAGACACCCATTAGAACATGCTTCATGCTAAATATCTTAGCTCTAGCTCTTTGGGTTCTTTAAAAGAAGTTTTTTTAAAGTTTTTACTATATGCATATAGGGAAAATCAATGACCCCCTGGGGCGGGGCCAATTTTGACCCCAGGGCTTTTATTTGAACAAACTTGGTAGACACTCACTAGAAGATGTTTAATGCCAAATATCTTAGCTCTAGCTCTTTGGGTTCTTTAAAAGAAGATTTTTTAAGTTTTTACTATATGCATATAGGGAAAATCAATAACCCCCTGGGGCGGGGTCAATTTTGACCCCAGGACTTTTATTTGAACAAACTTGGTAGATACTCACTAGAAGATGTTTCATGCCAAATATCTAAGCGCTAGCTCTTAGGGTTGTTTAAAAGAAGATATTTAAAGATTTTTCTTTCGGTTGCCATGGCAACCAGAGTTCTGCATGGAATTAAATTCTTTGAACAATTTTTAAAGGTGACCACCAAAGGAACATTCCTGTGAAGTTTGGATGAAATTGGCTCAGTGGTTTATGAGGAGATGTCATTTAAAGCAAAAGTTTACGGACGGATGACGGCCGGACGCCGGACGAAAAGCGATCACAAAAGCTCACCCTGTCACTTTGCGACAGGTGAGCTAAAAACATATTAAACATATTAACTTTTTTCTGATTACTTGCATGCTATCAAGGCACCTTTTTTTAAATGAATAAAAAGAGATATCTGGTATATCATTATATAATTTTACATTGTACTTCTGCAGAATAAAAGTATATTTAGAAGAAATTTGTTATGTTTATTCGTTAAAAATTAATATAATACAAATGTGTTTCTTTTGATGCTTTTTGTTTGTAAAGTAATCTATAATAAAAATATGAAATAAAAATATGTTCACTTATTATCATAAGCTTCTAATTTAGTAATTAGTTGTAGGTGGATATTAATCAAATTTGAATGATCCCCTCTATCTAGTCAACAATATATTGATGTGCCAAAGCTAGATTGCGAGATATTTTCGTTCTGGGTAGGAATCTCGCTTTTAGAGGCCAGATGTTGCCCTGAAACAAAATAGCACAATATCTCTTCATGCAATATAATTAGTTCAACTAGCATTAATCATAATTATCATCTGATTAATTGGTACCCTTAACACACATGGTAATTGTTTGGTTATAAAAGCGGGTGATGATAATTTATAAAAAACATTAATTATTTGGTTCCCACAATAAACAAACCATTATATTAATAATTTGAAAAGTAGGCCGAGCTGACCCCTGCCGAGCTGACTCGAGGGCCGAGCTGAACCTGATTCTATCTGCGGAGGGCTATATGTATAGGTTAGAGTGCATATTGGGTGTTCTTTGTAAATAAGATTAAGAAAGCTAAAAAGGAGCGGAGCTTGCGAAGCGACTGTAGCTTTCTTATTTACGAAGAACATCCAATATGCACTCTAACCGGCTTAGTGCTCCGCCAACTTGCGTTTTATAATATAAAACGTCCAGTTTATATAAATCTGTTCTATTAAGATTTGTAACCTGAAAATTTGAAAAATCCTTGTCGGTGATTGGCTTAAAAAAATGGCGAGCACTAACCCAGATTAGACTGCAGGGTCTAAACAAGGAGTATATATAGTAGACTCATTTTGTATATAAAATATTGACAGAGATTAACATGATAAACAGTGTCTATTCCAGGAGATGATTTGCTCAGTGGAGTTTCTTTAATTTTCTAAAGTTTACATAAATTAACAAACTGAAACATAATCAGATAGTGAAACACAATTTCAGCCTTTCTGACAATATTTTATACCATAATAATTATTACACTGGAATTAATCTGTGTCATTTGAAATACTAACTTCTCCTTCAATAACAAATGAAACTAAAAAAAATAACAGGAAACAAAATTATTTTTTTGTATTTTTTTAGGTTAAAATAAATGTATGTAAAACACGCACTCGCCGCCGTCTGATTCTCCATCTCCTGTCTGTGTGGGCAGACGAAGATTAAATTTGTTCTTACTCATAGGCATTTTTTATCTTTGCATGTAAATTATACACATTTTTAAAGAAAATATAGCATCGATTTCTTTCCTCTCGCTCTAATTGGCAATTTAGGAAAATTAACGGATGTGACGTCACTATTTTCGTTTGACAGTTTTAAAAACGGAAAGTTTATATTTTGTCGAAATGATATTTTTAACCGAAAAGTCTTTTGACTTACGTAGGCCAATTTAATTTTATGTAAATTGTATCATAGTTATGTATAGTAAAATAAACATTCGCTAAATGAGCACTAGCCTTGATATGGAATTGAAACGGAATGTATAATCACGACTGGGAAATATCGTATACTTAAACACATTATATCTATTCAATATGAATAGATACGACCAGTTAAGTTCCGTTGATTAGCTAGGTTACATCTACATGCTTAACAATCAATTCTGATTATGACTAGCAGGCGCGTTGTCAGGGAATTGTTAATAAAAGAAACAATTTATATGCAAATTTAAAAAGTTAAAAGAATAAAAGTTCTACAAGACTATATATTAATTTAAAAGACATAGCTATATATAGTGTGCGATTAAGAATTTATAGAATGGGTCAAGGCTCTCAGTAAAGATGTTTAAACTGGGGCTAGACTGAATTAACAGTCAGAGGAAGGCTATTCCAAAGACGTATGCTCCTAGGAAAGAAAGAATTTTGATGATATTATGTCCCCGAGTAGGGTATCAGGTAGTTCAGATTTCTTGTTTGATTAAGGTGTTGGTGGTCAACAAAAACAATATGTTGTTTTGGATTTTATACAAGTAGGTTACAGCACTGATGTTTCGACGCTGTTCAAGGGTTTGCCAGTTAAGATCATTTATCATTTTTGAGACACTACTTGTATAGTCATTGTCAATAAAAATATATCTAGCAGCTGATGTTTGGACTCGCTCTATCTTATAAATTAAGTACTTCTGCCAAGGATGCCAAACTATGGAGCAATATTCAACTTGAGGTCTAACATAGGTCTTATATGCAGTTTCCTTTATCTTTTTATTTGGGGTTTTAACATTTCTTCTAATGAATCTAAGGGAGATATTTGCTTTAGATGTAATATTGTTTATATGTTTGGTCCATGAAAGGTCTTGACTAATAGTGACTCCTAAGTATTTTGCTTCTTGAGTTGAGTTTAGTTGGATGTTAAGGAGGGTATACGGAAATATTACGGGGTTTCTTTTTCTTGTTATCCTGAGAACTTCACATTTATCAGGGTTGAACTCCATGGACCAGTCTTTTTCCCATATTTCTAAAGCATGAAGGTCATCTTGGAGGGTTTGGGCATCTTGTTTAGATCTGATGGTAAGGTAGACAACCGTATCATCTGCAAAGATTCTAACCTTACCTTTGACACTATCCGGGAGGTTACAATTATTACTGTAGGAAAATTTGAGATGCTACGAAGAATGTTATAAATTTATTTTCTATATCTCATTAAAAAAACCTTTTATCTTCGATTTTTATTGTTTATCATCATTATTATTATTATTATTATTATTATTATTATTATTATTATTATTATTATTATTATCATCATCATCATCATCATCATCATCATCATCATCATCATCATCATACAGGATTCATTTTTAAAAATGCCAATAGCATAAAATGCTCTCACTTTTATTTGCTTGATATTATAATAAGTCATAGCCAGCATTTTTTTTATGAAATTAAAGGTACATGATATTGTACATACTAGCTCAAAATCCACATCAAGGATATGAATGTACAAATGCAAAGGCATACACAAAAGATATTCCAACAGGGCCGACAAATCTGATTTTGATTTTTCTGTTTTAATCTAAAGCATTTCTTAACTTGTCTGTATGATATTTATATAGTAATTTTTTTGTAATTTCCACTTGTCCGTACAGGCTGTGGGACAACCGGGACAATACTCCATCTCCCCTGCTCGAGACGAAGAAAGTCTAGAATTTCTATAAAAGATATTTGAACCTTTGGTTTTCATGAATTTTGTCTGTTTCAAAGTATTAATTTAAAACCGTTTGAAAATGAAATATGATATTGTTACAATTCATATAATTCGGAAAAGAATGACGTTTTTGTACACAATAGTATTTCTTGATCACTTACATATGAAAATGATCAACAACAAAGGGTTAACTTTTTACCATTTAAAGAAAGTTTAAAGCACAAAAACATTATGGTATACACGTATTATATACTCCAAGCACTTGGTGCAGGCATGGATCCAGAAAACCATGGCTGTGTACGTTTGGAATAACGTACCAATTATCTTACCTCCCCACTTTACCGGGTGTTTGCTTCTAAAGCTACATTTAAGCAACTTAGTATTTCTAAACAATTAACAACGAAGCACGAGACTGTTGTAAGAAATCAATGGACATATACTATGGAAGGTTTTCTGGAGCAGAACTAAAAAAAAATAACTAAGGGATACGTCTACAAAACATCTCGTATTTCCACAGTGGTAGATTTTGAGTAATGAATATCAGCAATTTGACTTTTACCCAGCAAACATTACAAATCGGTCTAATGTCGGCCCGTTATCAGCAGCAATGTCGGCACGATATCAACAGCAACGATATCGGGCCGATATCGGTACCCATTGTAGGCCCTGACGTCGGATATGCAACCCGGCTCAAGATCGGGCCGATATCGGCTGTGTATCCCTTTACCGACTTACAGCCGATGTCATGTCTACACTCATAAGCATTTTTTTTTTTTCTGAAAGCATATATTGCTTTGCTTTCCTTTCCATAGGGCTTAATATCTAAACGAAAAGTCATTTAATATTTTATGTGAATAAAATTAAGTTTACTAGAGATCATAAAAACAAATTTAGGAAATGCAAGTAACTTTTGTCGTTTGACAGTTTGACAGAACAATCTGAACGAAACAAAAAAAAAAGAACAGAATGAAAAAGTATATCAGCATCTGTAAAAGTAAATTTTAAAGGCTGCATATAGACTTGAACCTACATATAAGATTAGGACGTATGTCAAATTGTCAATGGTAAGATGAAGGTCACATAAATGTAAGAGAACGTACGACTAATTTTGCAACAACAAGTAGTTAACAATCTGTTTGAGTTAACTACTGTATCTGAGTGTGGGGTGGGGGGCAATTTATCTCAGTTATCAAAATGATTTAGTGTTTTATAGAAATGGGGTCACTTTTTCTATAGAATATTGACCGTTGGTTATTACTCTATGCGGTTATTTTACTTCGTTACACCTGTCAACAAAACAAATAGTGCAATACTTGTAAAATGAATAACGAATGTACTTATATATATTTGACATCGAAAGGAAAACAAAAACCTATTTCCGAAACAGTATGATTGAAAAATATGTCTGATTTTAAAATGCATATTTGCATACACTTATGAACAATTCCGAAATATCGTCAAATGTTACACTTTGTATTTTCGGTTTGTAACAAATATAATAATAAGGATCCTGTAAGTTGTATCTGAGGTTGTAATTTTGTTGTGATTAATGCTTTCGAGGGATCACTTTGTTTCCATTTTTTTTAACTTACGACTTCTGATAATGGAATAAACTAAGTCAACAACTCCCAGCGTTTACTTGTTTAGCTTTTTAGCGTAGCATTTGGAACTTTAAAATTGATTCGCCCGAGCCGAAAAATTATGAATGTCTTTAACAATTACAATGTTTTCTTCCATATATAAAGGGCACTGGTTATGAACAATTTTAAATTCATGTACATGGTTAAAGCCTGGAAGATTTGAAAATGTATTTAAAAGTAAAATATTGTGAAGTGAACAAAGAAAGTAATTTACACATTTCAAATGACACATAACAATCCATGTAAATAACAAAAAAGAGATCAAATATGCAAAAAAATGCCCTTATAGCATAAGTAACGCAGTAGAAATGTGGTAACAAATACTGCACAATCAGTCATTAATCGCACATACAACATGTAACTTATTACTTGAATCTTGAATCTTTTTGCTTTTCTTAAATTGTTAAAATCGTTGTAGGTTTTTTTTCTTCTCAATTTTGATTTTCTCGAAATATTTTGCCTCATATCGACTACCAAGAAAAACATTTTGCCTCATATCGACTACCAAGAAGAACATTTTGCCTCATATCGGCTACCAAGAAGAACATGAATAATCTGGTAGCTTCTGTATACGTGCTGAACATAAATTATATTTTCTCTCGTTATCTAAAAAACCTTGCTTGTCTATGCATACAGCAGTACGCTTCCAGATTCATCCTAATTTTCATGAAAATTTTGAAAATGCATTTAAAAGTAAAATATTGTGAAGTGAACAAAGAAAGTAATTGACACATTGCAATCGGCACTTATAATCCAAGTAAATTACCAAAAAGGTCAAAATATGCAAAAATTGCGATAGAAATATGGTGATAAATACTTCAAAAAATCAGTCATTAATTGCAATTAAGATATAAATTATCACTTGAATCTTTAATCTGTTTATTTTTCTTAAACTCTTAGTACATGTACAGTTTTCTCAAGTTTAATTTTCTTGAAATATTTTGGCTCATCTGGAGGCATGCAGCTTTAAGATGCAAATTTACCTTACAAAGAATATCACTAGCATTTGTATCAACGTACAAAGAATTATCGATAAATAGACCTAGATATGCCCATTATGTCCCGGAAATGCTTTTTTTCCTCAATGTACTTTCTGAACCATATTTTTCTTCTGTTGCTCTTTGGCAATTAGTAAAATTATAGTGATTAAGTATTTTTTATAAAAGCCAAAAAAAACTATTTGTTTACATTTTGCTTCTTGTGTGCCAAATCATTCACATTTAGTGCTACTCTCTTCAAGTAATATGAATGTAACATAATTTTAAACCATTATTAAAATGATATAAAAATTAATATTTGCAATTTTAAAGATTTTTTTTTTCATTTGATATGTCCATTACAATCTATTCGAAACTTTTAAATTGTTAAAGCTTTCGTTTGGAACCGAATATAAGACATTTAGACTTTGGCGAAGCCGTTGAACAGCATCGTCTCTTATGGAATGCCTTTTTTGTGTCACATGGTAGTATCTGTTATAATTACCAGTTAATGTCATGTTGTGTTAATTATTTTTTTTATTCTTTAAAAATGAAGTAAACAAATATGTTGTTATATTTTTATTTGATAACTTTATTTGTGCATTGTGATATTTATTTTTATGAAATGGCGGCTCAATTTAACAGTTTATCCGTTATTTTTGCGTTATTGGTAATACTACAAGCCGGACTCTATGGTGGCTGATTTGTGCCATTTTTTGGTTTCGCCCCTCTATCCCGCCAAGCGAAAAATCGAGAATTAACAAGTTAAAACGGCGGGGTCGCGGGACGAAAATATGCTAATTAGCGGGGGTGCGGGGCGAAGTTAAATAAATAAAACTTCGCCCCGCGGGGTGAGGAACGAGCATTAAGAAAAAACGGAGGGGGCGCGGAGCGAAAACACGCTAATTAGCGTTTTTTCGCTCCGCGCCCCCGCAATTTTAACTTGTTAATTATCGACTTTTCGTTTGGCTAATTAGCGTGTTTTCGTCCCGCGATCCCGCCGTTTTATTTCTTAAATCTCGCTCCGCCCCCCGCGGGACGAAGTTTTATTCCCACGACATCGTTAATAAGCTTGTTTTCGCTCCGCGCCCCCGCCATTTTAACTTGTTAATTTTTGACTTTTCGCTTGGCGGGGTCGCGGGGCGAAAACACGAATGACACAAATCAGCCACCATAGGACTCCGAATATTGTTATGGTCTACATTGAATACACTGGTATTTTCTTCTTCTTTTTTGTTGTTGTTGTTGTTGTTGTTATTTATCTTAGATTTAGTTTTTATGGTCTTCACTGTTTATTCTTTTTTGTGTGTTACGCATTGTTTATTGTTTGTCAGGTTTGGATTGAAGTAAATGAATTATTTAACACAACTTTATATCTGTCGCACTTCAATTTTTTAGTCTTTCCCTGTTTTTGAGCACACGTTGTCTGTAAAAAATTAATGGAGTCAAAGTCTTGACCAAGTGCCTCGATTGATATATCATACAATGATACTTCAAAATAATGATCAATTTATTGACCACTCTTTCAGTAATAGTCTTAATTCAATCTGCACAGTTCATTAGTCAGCAATTATATTTTTGTCTATCCATCCATTGATGATTAATGATACTATTCAATATATGGAATTGCCAAGCCCAAGTTAGTTATAGCAACAAGGTTAAGGTTAAATTTAATTTGATTTTGTTGTTTATTCAGGTCAAGGTGAAGTTAACATTGACACTAATTAGTGCAGAATACTTTTCATCTAGAGATTTACTTTTGGATCAATGCTTTTCTTGTTCCTAGATTAATTGGCAATTAATTATCTAAAAGCCAAGATGAACAGGACTCTATAATTCTTGTCGAAATTACACTTCTTTTTTGTGATCGCTGTCATCAGCATACAGAATAAGCTATACTTAAAATCATGTCATTTATCTAATCCATACTCGGGTCACGACCATGTTTCTTCATATGACACCAGTACTTGTTGGTTCCAGGCAGCGGACTCAAAAGTGATTAATATAAGTTGCAAGAACATGCTTTGCATTCGAGTTTAGATAAATATGTTAAAACCAAACAAGGTGGATGATACATGTATCAGTGGAATATGATCTTTTTTAAATCATACTTAATTCATGCAATAAATTATATTCTACCAAAATCTTTTTTAAGTCGTGAATACACAGATTTTTCTTAAATTTTTGACACAATACTTAAAATACTAACATGTCTATAATTTCCTACTTCAAAATATGACAAACAATATCATCAATGAACGCACCCCACACGACTCAACAACAAGAGCCAGTGGCAATGAGCCCAGGAGGACTCCAAACAAAAACAGGACAGGGCGGAAGGCAGAGCACGGACAGGCTAAACGCTAAAACGAAACATATGATGAAATAATATTAACCGACAAGCAAATCAAAGATTTGCCACAAGGTTCAAGAGCTTTTTTATTCTTTATTTCAAACTTTGACAGATTAACAATAAAAGTGTTTGGTATTTCAAAACGAAAGCGGCATCCTTTAAAAACCTGGGACTTCATCTAAATCCTATACTTTTGGATGACTTTAAATTTCTAAGTTTTGTTGTGTACAGATACCTCAGATACATTTTAAGTATAATTCTTGTTTCTTAACATTTTGTTATTATAAATTTCTTACAAAGCTTGTTAGTCAATGTCCAACAATATTTGGCAAGTAGAAGGTAATAACTTATCAAGAAGATTAGAAGCAACAGTAGTAAATAAAATCATTACTAACAATTTTTAAAGGACTATGATAGTTTTTACACCTCCAATTTTTTAAACAATATTTTCACTACCTTAGTTTTTTTTTTATTTTACCACAAGCATTGTGACTATTTCTATTTCTTAGCAATTTGATCAGAAAAATAAAAAGACTTAGCATGTTGTACGATCTCATCCTAATTTACGTATGTACGAGGAGGAATGGTCCAAACTAACGCAGACTTTTGTTATTGTATACACACAAAAGGTTAAAGAATTTAGGATTTAAAGCTTTATCTGATGATCTTTTTAATCTAAAACCTATTGACAGAGACCGGAAAATCAAGTAAATTTTATGAAACATGTTTTATTTGTTTTGAAACTTTGTGTTTACATTTTGGAGTCTGCAATCTTTACATTTTTTAGACTTGGTTTGGTTTAAACAAATATATTAAGCTCGATTGCGAAACAAGTTCTTGCAACTTATACCAATCACTTTCCAGTCCACTTCCTGGAACCAACCAGTACTGGTGTCATATGAAGAAACATGGTCGTGACCCGAGTATGGCTCGAACCCATGATCTTTGGGTTGAGAGACAAACACCTTAACCACTAGCTCCCCTTTTTTAGACTTGACGGTTCATATGTATTTTTTTATTTTTGTGGAAATGGTTTAAAAATAATTTTAATGATTAAGACACATGCCTCATTTGTGTAAAAATGTAAAAAGTTTTTATTGACCGTTTACAGGGTAGGTTCATCCGTGTTGGTTTGACGCCCAAGTGTCTGTGCTTTTTATGGGTGCCACTTTTTCCGTGGATATCAATTCCGGTGCAGGTTAAAATTCATTATCCATTGGGTATATTTTAGTATTATGTATATACTTAGTGCAACGAGCAAATGCTTGAAGTCATTTTACAACAGTAGTCCGACGTTTTATAGAGTGCGAGGGGCAAAAAGTTTCAGAAAAGGTAAACATATTGTCTGGTACCCATTATGCTTATTCAATAATCGAAGTCAGGACGTCATGAATCAGCAACTGACAATAGTGCTCATTTACTTTTGTGTATAATTGTCGTGGGATTTGTATTTATTTCTAAATAGAACTGTCTATCGGTAGCCTCACAATTCCGCTCAGGTTGCACATTTTCTCTTGAATTGGAATATGCCTAGCATGTTTCAATTCTAGAGAATATGTGCAACCCGACCAGCATTGTGAGACTACCGATGGGCAGTTCTATCCACTGGACTACCCGGTTTGTTATCAATTCCCAAAACCATTATTAGTTAATAGGTCTATATCTTCATAATTCAAAGGAAAAGACGCATTTTGTATGTTTTCAATAAGTTTATATAAATGCGCAAATTTACGAATTAACATCGACATATTGACAAACTTTTATTTATTTATTCTTAACGTCAGTGCAATAAATATTTCCGTTTTCCCAAGATTACAAATGGCAAAATTGGTCACATCAAAATAGGATGGTTCAATAATCAATATATACAGTTACGTAATATGAACACAAATTGATAATAATATGGTAATAATCATCATTATTCACCTTCCTCGCCCATGTCAAGTTTGAGAAAACAAAAAGTATCAATAATAAAATGTAACACATTTTAGTTAAATGAAAATCAAATATTTTCCAACTTCGATTTTATAAACCTTACAAAAGAATCTTGTTTGTTTGCACGTCTACATCAAATTTATTTTTGGCTTTCATCCATTAGAGTGTATTAATTTAAAGAATGCATCACTAAAAGTTTCAATTTATTACTTCCATTTTACTTTATTTCATTGTTATGTTTTAACATTAACACTGCTAGCTTGTTATCAAAAGAATGTATTTAAAAAATACCGGCGCTACCTGCGACGTTTAATTATGGTTGTCACGGTTAGTTCGTGCGTTCATTATTAACGATCATGTCCATTTCCACTTGGATAACGTTAGTGCACGTTACTGGTGCTGGAATAGAAAGTCATTAAAATCAGTAATAACTTTATTAAAGGCTTTATGCAGAGTACTTTCTCATTTCCGATGACAATACTGCCTTTAATAGCACCATGCTCCAACTAGGTTTCACATTAAGGACCTTTCTTTGTTTTTTTTCTTTTTTACATTAACTTTTCACTATCTTTTTTGTCGTCTAATACTGAAAACGGTATTTTTTATTTCAGATACAGGATTAAACAGGTGCACTAAGGATGCCGTCTTTTTTCTTATGTTTTATGTTGATTCTAGTGAACACATTCAGTGAAGGAATACAGCTTTCAAAAATTGAAGAGCCGGACAAAGGTAAATAAAATTTAATGATATGCATGTATATTTGCTTGCTTATTTTTGTTAATAGTTTTGTTTTCATGAAGAAGAGTGCGGGGTGGGGTCATTCCGTGAAGCCAAATTAATACATTTTGTGAATATTAAGTAAGTGGCCAGTTTCACTGTACATGGCTACTGCAGCGTTATTTTGAACAAATGTCTTATCTGTATCATGATTCATTATCTTTGTTTTTTCTTATTTTCTCCTCTTTTTTTCCTTTTTCTTTCCTTAAAATATAAAAACAAACTTTAAATCCTGCTAATATGAAATTTTCGTGTTTCTTGATTAAACTTAATAGTAAAATACTTTGATCGTGCCAGAAACTACAACTTGTTTTTTAAAAGTTCAAATACATGTAGTTGGATTTTGATTAAGATAGAAACAAACGGAATCCCTTAAGAACTACGTGTATTAAAACGACAAAATTGAAAATGCTGCAGACTCGGTTTCATGGATTGTACTTGAAGGTGCAAGTCACCGTCCACGCTCGGTAGCACCGGCTTAAGCAGAATTCAACATTTAAACACGAAAATGGTGAAATTTGAATTTAGAAACAGCCACAGATGTGTTTATACGGGGGATTTTCATATGATCATAAACCTTTTATCAGGAAATAGATTTTCTTTATTCTATTTCTAAAAGTAGTGAGAATTAAATGTCGCGGTATATTGTATCTCGCTCACATCTGTTCTAGTACGATAAAGATAATTATTTAATTGAACACGACTTTTCTTGACTGCGGTTCATTTTATTTACAACATAGTGATTCCCCAGTCAAAATTCTATGATAAAAATGACCCCTTTATTGTAACGTTACCAAACCGCACGTGAAAGAAATTTTACTATTTCTTGTATAAAAACGGAGCACCGGGTATACATTATATGAGAAGAACACGTGCATTAACTGATAAAAATCACGTCAACACGCGTCATTGCTGCACCTTTTTTAAAGGCATATTATGCCTTAGAAAAATCTTTTTTAAGAAATAGCAAACAGCAGTTTTATAGCATTTAGATAATTGTTTTAGAGATGCTTATTACCTGAACAAATTGGCGATGAATGTAAACTTCTTTATCATAACAGTATCAAAATGTAAAAGGTTCATGTAATTGACCAATTATAATCTAATGGAAATTATAAATGCATAAAAAGGGTTTTGACATTTAAAGATAACAGCTTTTCTTGGACATAATTGGCTTTAAATATGTGTGACTCACGGCGCCGAACAACAATTATGACAGGGGAAGGTCGCAATTATTCGCAAGGGTCATTTTGTATGTGAGGGAGGTCATGATACTTTAACCGGGGGTCATAATATTAAGACCGAGAAGGCATTATTCTATGAAAATATATTGTTCGTGTGGTATTAATTCTATGGGAGGTACTGTAGATTGTTACACCGCGGCCAGGGGACTTACACGGTAGCTTTGACTCTCCAGTGGTCAAACAATCAAACTGAGCCTTCAACATTTTCATTTTTGACGTTTTGGACGGTTTTAACGGATTCCTTTTGTCTCTTTTATAAAATGTTTAAAATAAATGCAAGAAACAATAAAAACTACCCTTTCTATTTCAGACATTTTTCAGCCTAACATATTGATCAACTATGTATACTATCCGATTTCGGCGACATGGAATGAGGCCCGGACAGTATGTCAAAGTCTAGGCGGAGATCTAGCAAAGATTAATTCAGGAACATTTGTGGACATAATTGCTAACATTGCATTTGAAAATTACCAAACAGACATCTTGTATGTACACTACTATTCATTGAACTAGACACGTGTTCAAAAAAACAAAAACTAGGTCAAATAAAACTAAAAAGTTAAATTCAGCAAGTAAATAATAGAAATATCGGATAAGTAACAGCAAATGTACCGTGAAAGTAATTCATATTTAGCAAAATGTTTAACGCAATTTAAGTAATAGATAACACTGCTGAGTTTTTATCAAAGTGTTGACTCTTTGACCTAGGTCTCTTAAGAATTATTTTTATGGCTTGTACTATCAATTAATCTTTTAATTTTCTTTATGAATTTATATCTAATTAATCTGATTAACCACTCATAAAAAAGGTACTCTGTCACAACTTTTCACAACTTTGTTGTAGTTCAAAAGAATATTGGATCGGGCTTGTAGAAATGACAGAGGACAATCATTTCTGGGTATCGGATTGCTCACCTCTGAATTTTGGCGAAAACTTCCCGTCTAACTGGAAAGACAATGAGCTGTGTTTCCGGATGAGAAAAGATCACACTGGGGAGAGAAAGAACTGCAACACAAATCAGGGGTTTTTATGTCAGGTAGAAACAGGTATGAACGTAATTATGCTCAATTATATCAATAGTAAGAGTGGACAGAGCCGGTTAAAATACGCGTGTCGACAAATGACAAGTAATTGCTTAGAATTGTTTAACCATTTTCATGGTATCATTCAATAATGTCATACTGTAGGCGGCCGACAAAAATGGTGATTACTAATATTATGCATTTGCTGATGCTATATTTTTACAAACTGAGAGATTGCCTTGCACTCCATGTTCTTTGTATAATCCACAGCCTTTGTCTTTTAGATACTTTCAAGTTTCAGATTTTGATTATGATTTAGTGACCTATTTTTATCTTAGAGCTACAGCTTTCAAATTTGGACTATATGCACATTTAAACTTTGATATCAGTTGACTTACTTTTTACCCAGATCACTTGAGAATAAATGTGTCTTTTACAGGGAGTGTTTCTCATGTGAGCGATATAGAGCATTTAGTCAATTTTGTTACGGTCTTTTTGCACACATATAACGCTGTTGCGTTCGGCTGCTTCTTTTACGCCTGATGTTCGGATAGTCTGTTTTCTTTGCATGAACTGCGCTGTCTATTTCTTTCAGAGACGCTGCATTCCTGTGTTACTCCATCAATCGTAACGTTTTGACCTTTTCTTTAAAAGACCGTCAATATGGTCAGAAAAACATTTCATATTGTTGGTATTTCATACATCCAGTGTCATTCATATTCCATATTCCTCATGGCATTTGTATTTATTATACACTATTTTCATGTACTTCATGTCATTTGTATTTCATATTTGTTTTCATATATCCATGCTATTTGTAATTCATTTGCCCAATGTTATTAGTATTTCATATATCCAATGTCTTTTGTATTTCATGTACTCTGTGCTATTAACATTTTATAAATTGTGTGTCATTTGTATTTATAGACTTCATGTCATTTTATATCGAATGCGCCGTGCCTTTATATTTCATTTAATCACATCTTTTGTTTGATACCCCTTATCTCCACATTCACAGCAATTTATAATCTTGGCTCCTAAGCTAATCTTGTTACATTTTCAGATACTCCACGTCACATCACGTATTGTTTGTAAATTAATTCAGGAACTAGTGTGACCGATGTTTGAGTGTAAGCTGTAACGAGATAATTGTATTCATGTGTTTTATTTTACAGACGTTCCATGTTCATACATTTCTCGACTAGACAGTCAGTTTCTGTCAATGAGCACTAATAGCTCGGACTGTAAGTCAGAATGTTCAGGTAACGTTGATTGTTGGGCCACCGTCGAGAAGTTTCCAGATACATGTATCATGTTGGCCACGATGGATCTTGGACAAGGAATTTTTCAGATGTTCAGCAAATTTTGTTTGAATGGTAATAGTACATGTAGTTTCTGTTACCTACAATAGAAACAAATATTTCTCTTGAAACATTCAGTTAGCTTTCTTATCTTTATACGAATACAGTTTAATTCACTGTGATTGTATGAACGTTATATCCAAGTTTGGTTTGTCTATAAATTAAGTAAAGTATTTGATTTGGCAATAATTTATCAATGGAATTTCTGGTGATTAAGTTTTGCATTTTGAAAACATGAAGTATTTTTTTTATTTCAGTGACACTAAACACGGCGATGCCGGTAATTGCTGAGAACAACAGTTATATACCTGGACATAACTGCTCTAATTTAGGTAGTTATGTAGTTAAAGTATTGGTGATAGTTGGTGATATCTATTCCGCCCATTTCCGTTACATTGAATACTAAATAAAGCTTCGATGTTTTAAAGATCATTATAAGAATCTTGTGAAAAATATTTGTACCGGTTAAAGTTAACTCTGTATAGCAGGATAAACCTTCAATGCAGGAATGCCTCAATTCATAATGCTAGTGCAAATGATTCCTTTATGTTATAACGTCTAAGATTAATTCTTGTTTGTATTTAGTTTTGTTTTTCAAATATTTCATTTCCATTATCGATTTGACCGATTTATGTTTCTTTCAGGATATACACCAGTTACCGTGCCAACACCAAGTAGCACGGTGGTACCATCTTCATCCGTGGTGGTTGTACCAACTTCTTCAACTCTTTGCCCGCCTTTAGTCGTTTATTCAAGTATTTCTTCTATTTGTTTAACAGAAACAAGTATAATAACGTCTTTAGTTACAGAACATTTTTCTGTCCCTTTCAATGTTACACAGACCGTCAATGTGACACACAATGTATATAACACTGAGTATTTTAATATCACTCTAACAAACACAGAGTTTTTAAATATTACTCAAACTGTGTATTCAACGAATTCATTTACTGACACCTACACGGAAACAATTCATTCAACTTCAACAGAATTTTATACAGTTACACTCACAGTGTCATCATTTGAACAAAATAACTTTACCACGGAGCAAGCGGAAGTCATCGCCAAGGAGTTCGTGAAAAATCTAACAGTTAACTCTAAATCAACTGGAGCTCATATGCGGAAGTTGACAAGTGCAGACGACAGGAGAGCGTCGGTTAAGTATATGGGTACCGTCGGTATAATTGCTGTTGTTATTCCATTGACTATTTTACTTTTACCAGATTTGAAAAATGTGTTCATGCATATTCGTTCGCATCGTTCTATTTATAGCCGTAGACAGTTATAACAACACACTTTCTTGGATAAAAAGTTTTCATGGGTGCATTGAAATGAAAAAATAAGTGTCTGGATGGATGTAAAAATGATTCTAAACGTCATTTCTGGGAACTTGCTGTAAATGAGAAGTGACAAACACATAATTATGCTAATAAGCCACTCGTTTGAAATATGTCTTTCGGACAAAAGCATTATTATTATAAAAGAAAACTTGTTTTATAGATATTAATCTTCAAAAAGGGTGATGTAAATATTGCAGGAAATTGTCGAGCAATTTCATTGATACCAGTTCTCGAAAAAATTTACTTACAAATTTTACTGAACAGACTTACCATATGGTTTATTAAGTATGACAAATTAATTTAAAAGTCAGTTTAGGGTTAAGAAAGGCAATTCTATTATTGATTGTATTTTCAAATCAGCATTCGGTTAGAAATAAAGTGATAAATGCTGTTGGTAAAATATACTACTGCTTTGTCGATTACGAGAGAAGAATTAATAGAAACTTTGTTTATCACAAACCTCTTACACAAAATGCTCATTGTAAGATGGTGAAGGCATTAAAAGCAATGTATTCCACAGTTAGATCATGTGTAAGATACATGTGTATAACAATTTATACTCGGGACTAATTTTATTCACATGTCGGTTTGAAACAGGGTGACTCGTTATCGTCGTTACTGTTCATGTTTTTCTTGAATGACTTGATGAATAATGTCAATTCAGACATAGATGACATCTTAAGTAAAATCAGTTCAATTGAATTTAGCAAAATATAAGAAAACAATGTTAATTAGTCTTACACAGATTGCTATTGTATTCAACACTTTTTGTACCAGAAATACTTTAATGCTTACTGAAGATGCAGAGGACTTATTATTGCCTTTGTACTATTTGCACTTATGCTCATCAATTTGTATATATGGGATGTGTACAATTTTTACAATGTTTAATGCTCATAGTCATTGTTTGTGGGCGATTTTAACGTTTTAAATAGATGTTTATTATTATTATTATTATTATTATTATTATAAATTCCTAGAGGAAAAATAAAATCGTTGATGTATGACTGTTTCAAAACAATTTCTCATCACGCATAAATCGGGATCGTACAATTGTCATCAAAGTAAGTTATTAAGCATATGTCTCTAAATGCAGACATTTCAAATATTTGCAGAAGTTGAAGTAACAATAACGAAAATACTTAGATACACGTATCTTTGTGAGTTGATCGATCCGTAGTTTGAGTGTTTAGAAAAACTTGATGTTTATTTATTTTCATACTTTTCAAGAACCCTATGTACACATGTATTTCTGTACCATTGTCTAAACAGGAAACCATGTTATATCTAGTAAATATACAAAACAGTTTGAAAGAAGTGACATGTGTGTTTATATTTGTCTGAAAGAGGTATGCATAACTGAAATTCAAACTTTAATCGCCATGTTTTTTCTGGATTTATCATATTGTGCATTTAGTAATAAATGTACATGTAGTTGCATGGAATGCATTTTCTATTTCTATTTAATGCTTAATTTCATATCAATAACAAGTAAGTTTTAAACATAGAACATATTACACATATTTGTTCATAATTTGAAATAAGATTCCGCTCAACATTTTTCAGGAGTCGTACGTATAATGAACCCAAAGTAGAATCACAAAAGTTTGATGTTATAACTATTTTTGACATGTTAAACATGTTCAAAGTGACCTTGATTGAGTATGGTGGATAAGACTCATCATGATGCCAGTGACTTTAACCTGAAAATGAGTGTTACATGTAGAACTAAACATATTTAAGTTTTTTGGTATAGATAAACAAAAACAAAATGTATAACCAATACCGACACGTACTGCCTATTGGGTCATGGCAATAGCTCCACCTTTTCCTTGAATTGATGAGGTTATTATGGTGCTGTATATAATCAAAGCACTAAAAGTGCTGTTAGCGGCAAGACCCAAAAATGTGTATAGAAATACTTAATCAAATAAATAGGAAGACACTTAGTTTATAACTCGACCTGGTTTAATCAATCAGCTAAATATGGCAATATAGTTAAGACAAATTTATTTTAGTTATTTATTTTAGTTCGATTGTGTTGGATGGTATAATCTTATTGGAACACTCTCGAATCCGTTCCTGGAACCAACCAGTAATAAGCAATGAATGTGAAGGTTTTTGCTCAAGGAAACAACGACTTGCCCCAGACAGGGATTGAAACCACGCGGTCAGCAGTCTTTAGATTACTAATCCGACGCATAAACTACTCGGTTACGCCGCCACGCCAATATAAAGAAATCCTTTTTAAGTATCTTGAGCAATTATTTCGGACACATGACCGATATGTATAGACTCTTCATCCGCATACTCCAAATCATTATATTGAAATATTTGAACTAGAAAAATAAGGGGTGAGAGGTAAAATAAATTATTGATTTATATGGGATGAAGTTTCCTTCAAAATATGAGAGGTCAAGTGTCTAGGATGAATCTTTTGTTTCCTAGTCTATATTTTGGTGATTTGCAAAGCAACATCAAAGGTACTCGTGCATGCATAAATTTAAAGGCATGATATGAACTTTGTCCTAGCTTGAAAAAAAGTTTACCTTTACAAATTCTTTTCTATCTGCATGTAACGTACATAATGCAGAATTATCGTTTAATGTATGAAAAGTCTTGTTATTGACTTTTTTTCATCTTTCGCAACATTTTTTACTGCGCAATAATAAATCAGATTTTAGAGCTTTTGGTTATTTTCGCTTACTTCAGAATGTGGGTTGTTACTAAAGCGGCTTACCAATATGAATAATTGTAAAAGTCAGTATGAAATTTGTTATAATGTGTTGTAGGAAATGTCACTGACAAACATTGATTCATGACATGGAACAATAATCTATGACAATGTTGAACGGAAGACGCAGCTGTTTTTGTATATATCAATTTTCATATAAACGATGATGCTACAATTTAATCTGCGACAAGATCATGCAAAATCAAGCTTGTTTAATCATCGCATAATGGTACACGCTTGCAGAAATAACGAAGAAACATTAACATGTGGCGCAGAATAGTTGTGTTAAACATATATATTAAATGGCATTACCAACTGAAAGATACACATATAATTCTATTTACAATCACAATAATTGACATTATAAACTGAATATGAATTGTGTTTAATTTTCGAGTTTAAAGGTCTGCGTACTTTCATAACCTTCATGGAATCACAAAATGTTGCATTTTCACTTCCTGTTGTTGTTGTTGTTGTTGTTTTTGCTGAAGTCGTGGCTCTATTTTTTAACTTCGGCATTTGACATAAAATGTCTGTAACCTCACCGGATACTTTTTGAGTTCCCAAAAAGGAACAAAGGTCGCAATGGCTGAGTGGCATAAAGAATTACATCTCAAGAACACGAACCTTTGGCAATATTGTGATTTTGTTACAAAAAGATGTCGTTTATAAACTGTCTAGTACATAGGAGTTACTGACATGCAGACAAAACTAACGATTTTAATTACCAAGTTTTATCAAATAGGTTTTAGATAATTGAAACAAAATTAAAAATCTGCTTTCAAGTATTGTACATCTAGTCTATCCAAACAATCATATTCAATTAATAAAACGTATTGATTAAATCACTATAAAATCATAAATGCGCCCATCCGTTAAACATATTTTTGAACCGTAATGCAAACACGGGTGTTCTGTACAGTATCTAATGTTGCTATGCAACAGAGGAAATGGAAGGCACTGTCTCACGAGAGTAATGAAATGTAATGTTTTCACGCGCATTAATAAATGGAGGTAATTTCCTTTCAGTTTCCTCTAAACATCATTTTTACTATAACTTTATGTACAAATTTATAGCTGTATTCAAGGTTATTGACAACAGACGACATTTATGCACGTGCTGACAATGCATGTAGTAGTTAAATGTCGTACGGGATAACCTATATTCAATTGAGCCGAGTCACGACAAAACCAACATAATCCGCGCAGTCTGATCAGGATCCATGCTGTTCGCTTACAAACCCTATTACAAGTAGAGAAACTAACAGCGAACAGCATGGATCCTGATCAGACTGCGCGGATGCGCAGGCTGGTCTGGATCCATGCTGGTCGCAAACCCATTATGTTGGTTTTATTGTTTATCAGTTCTAAGGTTGTAACTATAGATCTTATATTCAGCGATTTTTATCCCGAGAAGATTTTTCGTTAAATGCTGTATCAGTTGTTTTGGTTAGACGTACTACATTGGTTACTTTAATACTGGTCACAAAATTTTATGAAGTTTTATTAAGTTTGTAAATTATGGCAACTGTCAAAGTACTTAAGAATCGACACCCACCTTCTCCCCAAAAAGAGAGAGGGATACTTGATTTAATAAACCATTTTACTTTTAAAGATTTTTTGTAACAATTATACATCTTTATAAGATATAAAATATGTGTTTAGATCAAATATACTGAAACAAAAAAGAAACTTTCTCCAAGTTTGAATGTAGATATGTCCAGGTTTTTTTCTTATTCATAACTATTTTCAACATTTTTGAAGTTATGGTTGTTCCGTTTTTAATATGTTTTGCACTTTTTTGTAAATACTATACTTTTGTATATAACATTGTTTAAGAATTAATACTGAAAATTCATTCGGATTAAAATCAATAAATGTAATTCCAGTGCCGTAAATACAATACAAAATGTGACAATTCAGTGTTTTTTTAGTTGTTTCATATCCGTGTAGACAATTTTGCAAGCGCTTGACCATTTCCCATCTTAAAAATAAAAGAGAAAATATAAGTCTAAAATAAAACAATTCAGAAGAAAGAGGGTCATTTTGACCTCTCAATACAAATAGGGTAATATTAACCGCAGCATGCCTCAAATTGCGGATGTTACGAAAACTTAAAGCTAATGGATTTTCAAGTTATTACACATTAAGGCCATTTACTTCTTAAAATAAACCAAAAAACGAAGTGCAAATCCTTAATGCGTTTAATTGAGGACTATAATGTATTCTCAAAACAGGGCAATAAAATTAGACTATTACTTTAATTGTAAATATTTTTACTTTTCTTAAAATCTTCATTTTTTTTTTAGGTTGGATTAAAAAAAAAAATTGGCTCATCTGGAGGCAATTTTTACCCTCTATTGCTACCCATGTCAGCAAGTAAAAGCTTATAACTGTTAAGTTTCTTTTCACCGATGTTATACTTATAAAAATGTAAACGATGGAAGCAAGATTAGATAAATTATGTAAGGTTTCAGAATGGTGTAATTTCACCCTTCCCAAAGCGAACACCGACTTTGTTAATGGTAGTAATTCTTACACACCTTGACTTAACATCGTACATGAATATTACTCTGCGATAAATTATCATAATTATTTTGTACTGTTTTCAAATAATTATATATATTTTTATAACTTCTGATTACTAGTCGAAGAGTAATCAAAATAGAATGTGATTTTGTTTTGCTGCGTGTTTGCTGTAACAGGTTGCCGAGGTGCTATCCTTTTTGCCTGCATCATCTCTGAATATCGAAGGCATCATGTATAGTGGAACATGTAAAACAACAAGGTTTGAAATACAATGGAATTATTGGATGTTCACTATAATGAGACATCTTTATGACACTGCGCCTACTGACAAGGTTCTTAAACATGACGAACCTGAAACGGCGCAGTTTGAACATATATGCTTCAAATAAAAGTTTTGTCAATGAACAATGTTTTAAACAAAGCAATGGAGTACAGTGGCCAGACTGTTGACTATTGCACAAAGAGAAACCGTAAAATCTTAATCAAAACATCCACGTACAGCGCGAAGATGTTGTAAACATATGATTAAACTTCTCAGCCCCTGAAGGTCTTGAACTGAAAAAGCCCGATGCCTAAAGAGAGACTGTATGTACTGCGCATGAGGGCCAAACTATATTTGGCATATAA